ACCGAACCGCACACTTATCTAGTGGAGCGTGGAACGTCGATGTCCGGAAACCACGTCGCGTTTTTCCTTTTCCTGCCGTGACAAGCCAATGCGAAAGCAACGAGTTACATCTTTTAGCACGACCTCATCATTGGGGCGAACCAGTTCATCTCCGCTCAAAAGGCCACGGACGGCCCCCGAAAGAGCGCAGCTAAAATTGCGGCTATTCCCCTTCCGCACAGAGTCTCGCTTACTTTAAGGTTGCTGCGTTCCTCCACCGCTGTTGCTGTCCGAAATAATTTCGCTCGGTTCTTGCATGATTTGTGGGGACGAGGGCGCGGGCGCTCGCAAATAATTGAAAGGGCCACAGGGTTTCTTTGGGCATTGGACATGGACATGGACATGATCAGCAGCTGCGCTTTCACTGACTTCGCTCCAGCTGTTTACATGAAGTCCCCCTCCATCTCAACCTTTTTGCCTTCTCTCTTTTTCCACGAGGAAACTTGGGGTGTATCATCAGCAATGAACAACCGCGTAGGGCCCCGAAGCATGCCACTTGGAATGATGGTGAAACAAAGGAGATGGAGCTCTCTCCAACTCACGTGCACGCAATTGGAAAAAAGAGGAAGGAGATTAGGATACCTGCATTCACACTGCTTTGAGACTTCCTGTCACGGAATGTAAAGGAGACATCTGTATTAGAAACAGCTGCCCTCGAACTGATTCGCGATCGGGTTATTCCTCTTCGAGGGTTTGAAAGGCATATTGTGAAATCTCGTATGCATGTTGGTTTTGATAGTTTCGAAAAGTCTCTCTACGAACGTGTACGTGCAAATTGCTTCCGGGATTTTTTATTTATTCGACCAAAAAAAAATTGCTTCCGGGATTGATCATACTGAAATGAAAGTTATTTCATGGAGAGGGTTCTTGATTTTAGTCTTGTGCTAAAATGTAATAAGCACCCATGAAAACACACACACACACACATATGTATATTGTCTTCTTCGTTTTTTTTTTTGAGTTTTGGGTTGTTTGGGCTGACTGTTGATGGCGTTCGCTGGCTTCAGGCATGACTTGGAGCCCAAACTGGACGGCCCATCGACCTTTGTCAAAGCCCGAACAGGTATCCTCCTACATACATGGTTACATATACGATCGGTTCCTTTTTGATGGCTATTCACGTCTTAGCGTTTTCAACTTCAAGCGTCCCATCCATTTCAAGGGAAAACACCCTTTATTCCAAGAACAAAATCAGACCGGTGTTAATGCGCTAAAACCAACTATCAAGTGACTTGTAAGAAAATGCCCATGTATATTGAGCGACCAGGTACACTTCGATTCGATTTTGACCATGTATCGAAATATTTAGTCACGTTACATTGTCGTGATCTAGCAGACCAATTATACGTGAATTTAAAAGCGAAAATATTGCCAAAAATCCTAAATTATACCGATTGTGATATGGATTTCCTAAAAAAAATTTCTCGTCTCCAAAAAAATTTAAAATTTATATAACTGCGGCAAATTTACCTTCTGACACAATTCCGTCTAAAAAGGCTATTAAGACTTCTGATGTGGACAACAACGGACAATTGGATCCGACGTGATTTTAGTGAAGCCAAAAAGACGAAGAAAAATAATATGGTGTTGTCGTACAGGAAAAGATACTTTTTATTAACTGTTTTGAACTATGAATGACTTCCTCTCTCTCTTTCTTTCGCTATGAAGGTCAAATTTTTTTTAGCAATAAATTAATTAGAAAATATTTTTTTTTTTGGCGACAGTTTCAAAACTACATCAATATTGTTATTAAAAATATACATTTTATTTTTTAGGCCATGGCCGTCAGAATCTTAAAATATTTTATTAATAATTTTTTATTAAAATATACATTTTTATTTTTGGGCCATAGTCGGTAAAATAATTTTTTTATTAATAATTTTTTTATTAAAATTTTTTGATTAAAAATATATATTTTTATTTTTTTTCCATGGCCTCGTCGCCAACATATACTGTAAAATATTTTTATTAAAATATTTTTATTAAAAATATATTTTTCTTTTTTTTGCCATGGCTGATCGACTGCATGGCCGTAAAATAATTTTTTATTAATAATTTTTTATTAAAAATATACATTTTATTTTTTTGCCATGGCCAATCATTGTCATGCCTAGTAAAATATTTTTTTTATTAATAATTTTTTTTATTAATAATTTTTTATTAAAAATATATATATTTTTCTTTTTGCCATGGCCTGGTCACCCAGGCCATGGCGGGTAAAATAATATTTTTTATTAATAATATTTTTATTAAAATATTTTTATTAAAAATATATATTTTTCTTTTTTATGGCCATGGCCTCGTCAGCCATAGTCGGAAAATATTTTTATTAATAATATTTTTATTAAAATATTTTATTCTCGTCGATCCGGAGAGCGGTCCTCGGCCGACATCGAAGCTAAATTAAAACCAAGAAAAGGAAGATGAAAAAAATTGATTCTCAAAATTGTTCTAATCGAAGCTACTTTTTTATTCGATTCTGCTTTTCCAGCGATTCAGAACAATTTTTGATAAAATTGTGCCTAATCAAAAATTAAACAAACGTATTTACGTTAAACCGATTCGGTAAAAAAACGAATCAAATACTATTTGCAGTTGTAAATACGCGCGCTAAGACTTCGATGTGGACAACAACGGACAATTGGATCCGACGTGATTTTAGTGAAGCCAAAAAGACGAACAAAAATAATATGGTGTTGTCGTACAGGAAAAAGATACCATTTTGGACTGTTGTGAACTATGAATGACGTCCTCTCTCTCTCTCTTTCGCTAAAGGTCAAATTAAGCAATAAATTAAGGAGAAAATATTCGGTAATTTCAAAGCACTACATCATTTGTTGATGTAGTGTGCATTTTTTTCCCATATCCAGTTAGAGCTTAACACATGGACAGTGATCGGGAATTTTAAAAAAATAATACAAATATAATTTTTCTCTCTTTTCCTCCTTCTCCTCCCTTCGTTGCTACGGTTTAGATCTGGCCAGAGTCATGTCGATCATGGGAAGACGGAGCGAACCAGATCTAGCCAGTGAGCGAGTCGACGTGGTGAGATTTGGAGCCATGGGTCCATGGCTGAGTCACCATCTTAGTCGCGACTACTCAAGCCATTGCGAATCTCCATCTTTGGTCATTCTCCACTCACCCCTTTCGTTGCTCATGGTTAGGCTCATCAGTCGGTAGATCGGGAGATACATGGCCAAGTCACTCCTCTCTTGTCGCCGGCTCGCAAACAGAGTCACCCCCTTCATCGTCGCTCGCGGTCAAGCTCGTTCATTGGTAGATCGGGAGGTCCATAGCCAAGCCACCCCTCTCTCGTTGCCCCTCGTCCATGATTGACGAGGTGAGATATGGAACCATGGGTCCATGGTCAAGCCACCATCTTAGTTACGACTGCTAATAGTCGTTGGCCGTCCATGGCCGAGCAACACGAATCTCCATCTACGATCATTCTCCACCCACCCCTTCGTTGTTGCTCACGGTTAGGCTTGTCCGTCGGTAGATCGAGAGGTCCATGGCTGAGCCACCCCTCCCTTGTTGCTACAGCTCGCAAACAGAACCAACCCCTTCGTAGTTGCTCACGATCAAGCGCGTGCGTCGGAAGATCAGGAGGTCCATGGCCAAATGACCCCTCCTTCGTTGCTATGGCTCGCAAACAGAGTCACCCCTTTCATCGTCGCTCGCGCCATACTTCGCCTGTCACCAAATCTAGAGCCATGGCCACATTCCTTAGCCTACCGCCGTGCTTCCTCCGCCGCCGCACGGCTTCCTTGGCTTCTTGGGTGGCGAAGGGATCAAATCTAGCAATGCCAAGAGCCAAATCTGGTGCGCGCGGCTTGGGCGGTGATGACAGCCAAGCTTGATTCTCATATGGGGAGAGAGAAAATCCACATTCTTGTTATTTTATTTAATATTTTTATTAAATATTTTAAAAATATATATTTTAACAATGACACATTCTCAACTATTTTTTTAAAAAATATATTTTCTTTTTGACATTTTACCTTGACATCGCATCGATCCTGCAATGTAATCAATTTTACTAACTAATTTTTAATATTATTTTTTTAATTTTTTTTTAATTATTTTTTTTTTTTTCTTTTTTTCTTCACTTCAACCTCGCGGTATTAATCGCGCATTAAAATATTTTATTAAAATCGGCGTGAGGCCAGCCTCGCTCGACTCGGCAAGGCGACCTCGTTTTATTAAAATAGGCGCCCTTAAATATATTTTTCGGCGGGTCGCCTCGCCGGATCAGCGGACGGTCCTATTAATAATATTTTGATTAAAATATTCGCCGCTCCCATCCGGCGTCGCGGGCCCCGAGGTTGAAGATAAAGAAAAAAAATAAAAGGAAAAAAAAAAAAATAAATAAAAATTCGAAAAAATAAAAAAATAATATTAAAATTTTAATTCGATGAAAATTTTCACATATATCCTCAAATTAAAAGTTTTGTGTAAGATTCAGGTAAAAACAAGATGTACTTGTTTGGGGTTTTGATGTCAAAAAAGTGCAGTAAATCTCCTCACAAGTGTCCTGGCTTCTGTGAAGGGATTTTATGATGCAAATAGTTTGAGGTAAATGTGCCACTGGTCACAGCAAGCTTAGGGTTTTTGTGGTATTAACCCATTTTTTTTTAATTCCAGATCAGTGTTCATGTATCAAGCTTTAACCGGATAAGAGAAAAAAAAAAATACACGTCACGTCAGCAAATGTCACGACACTCCTTAAAATCACCGAATATTTTGCTCATAAATCAGGGCAGTTCGAATTTGGTATTTACGGAACTTGCCATTTAGGAAGATTAAAAAATGGAAAATAACGCCCACTCCATCTCAGCTCACCGATAATTGCCATTTACGCCCCCGTGCCACCCACTCACCGCGCTCCACGTGTCCCCCAATTAACCGTCCTTCGCCTAATCCCATTCGTAACGCTTGAAGGCGCCAAACGAGGGAGCGGACGGCGGATCTCTAGAGGTCTCGCTCGCAGCTATTTAATGCGCGGAAACGAGTCCGATCCCTCAACAAAAAACCAATAGGAAAACGAAGCAGGCAAGAGAGAGAGAGAGGTCGATCTCGCCAGGAAGATCTTCACCTTCACCTTCACCTTCAATTCCTCTAGCTGCTCTCCAGCTTCTGCAATCATGGTAGATCAACATCTGTTCGTTCTCTCTCTGTTTCAGTGGGTTTCTCTGATCATACTGGTTTTGATCTGCTAATTCATGCAATTTCTGAGGGTCTTTTTTTTCTTTTTCGTTTTGGGAGATGCGCAATTGCGACATCAGTTGCTTTACGTAGTCGTACGGTTTTGGTCTCGTAGCTTGAGGGTGCGATCGATCGATGCCTTCTTTAGATTGAATGCCTTCTGAGTCGATTAGATAGGTTTGAGGCATTTTGTGGCTGAATGCCGGCTGTATCTCCGCTCCGTTGGGTTAGTAATCGGCAGTGCATGTCGGGCGATGAGGAAATCGATTGAGTCTGGGCTTTGATTTTGTTAAATTCGATGAGCAAGAGGGCGGGCGGTGACCTTAACGATAAATGATGCGCATGTGGCCAAGGCGGGTTCTTTTATTGGTTGGGAAGATTTTGGTCCGTAGCTCCTGGTAGATCCATGAAAATGGGGGGTGGGTGGCTCATGAGGTCGCCGTTCTTTTGCGGCGATGAATTTGAATTGCGTGGCATTGATATGGTTGTGCAGACGACATCGAGGCGTTTCGCGGATCGGAAGGTGGATAGGTTTGAGAAGAACATCACGAAGAGAGGAGCTGTTCCTGAGACGACCGTCAAGAAGGGACAGGACTACCCTGTGGGACCTATCTTGCTCGGGTTCTTCATATTTGTGGTCATTGGCTCATGTAAGTTCACATTCGATGTTCTGTTCGTGAAAGCAATTTGATCCTTATATGCTTTGTAAATCTGACCAGAAATAGAGTTAACAGCAATGTGTGTGCATAGGCATGATCATCTGCATGTTTTTGCTTCTGTTCATTAATTTGAGAGAGAGAGGGAGAGAGAGAAAGGGGGGGGGGGGGGGGGTGGTGGTGGTTGGTCTGATCCTTTCATGCAATGTACATCTAGGTTGGAGGTGTTCGTTTTCATCCCTTTACTGCAATGTACATCAAGGTTTAGATTTTCTCTTCTCGAAGTTTGACTCGTGACAAGCGATGCGGTTTTAGGCATATTACTGACGTTCTACTTTGGCATGAATGCTCTCGATTGTCGTTCAGGTGGCAACACCTCTTCTGTCCGGTCAACTAGTTTTCACAGGCTGAGCTGATGATGTTTGAGGAAAATGGAATGTACCGCTGTTCTTCCCTTGCCCACTATTAGTGACCGTTTGGTGAATCATCTGTGTTTCTTAGTTATTGCTCGCTCCGTCTGAACAAAGTCAATCTTTTTGCACGCACTGGTTGCAGTTCATGATTATTTATTAGGTCTTGATTATGCATGGTTTCTTTCTTTACACGCTACTTGTGTTGATTCTTTTGTTGCGGAACGGCTCTTTTCCAAATTATCCGGACAGCAACAACTGGGGGCATGGCATAAGACAAGCAACCTTTAAGGAAGGCAGATGGATAACTTCGTGTTGTGTCGGGTCATGTCATATGTGTTCTCTCTTAGTTTGTAGGGAACTGATTTTGCATGTACTTGACCCAGTTGCTTTGGAAAACCCATAAGCTGAATAATATACATCCAGTTGTTTCGTTGGTTCTCTCAGTCTCAGCTCTGTCTCAGCTCTTACTATGCTAGATCTTTGATGCCAATCAGCCATAGCTCTCTTGGAACGAAGGTTCTCATGGACGGTTTTGACTTACTACTCGGAATGTTGGAAGTTGAAGATTGAAATGATTGAGGACATGATAATCTAGGCAAAACCTGAATTATTGTGAAGCATAAGTGAAAACCGAAGATAGATAGCAATAACATACGTGTAGAGACCTTTCACTCAGAGTAGACTGGATGAGTTTAGGAGTAATTTGGATAGCTGTGGAGAGTTCTTTTGTTTTTTTAGCCAAAAGATAAGTGTGGACGGAAGTTTGTTTTGAATGTATTCTCTCCTCCTTTTAGAAGATGTGTTCTTGGGAGGAACTTCGCACGAATCTTTTCTTCACCGTCAAATTGCCTGGATCGTTGTCGTTGAAAGCGAACGAAATCTGTCGGGAAGCTTGAGTAGCTGTCTTTGGGAACAAATTGTACTCACCTCTAAGGTTTGATATTCTTTAGAAGCTTGAAAAGGCATCATCAACTCAAATGGTCAATTTCTAAAAGTTGCATTGTCGTGACATGAGAATAGATTTGATGATAATATGGATAACCATCATATTCTGGGGATGAGGCGCACTAGCAAGATGCCAAGAGCTTTAGAAACTAGTAGGAGCTAGCAAAACTAGGACAAAGATTGGTTCGACGAGGAGCAGTAGCGACTGTGCTGAAATTATGCGCTTGCGCGAGTGAAACTCATGCGGAGTGCTGCTTTCCCGGCCACCTCAATCCTTCCTAAATAGAAAGACACACAAAATAACATGCCCTTCTTCTCCATTACCACTTTATTTTGTTCTTTTTGGTGTCTTTTGATGTTGCCGACTCAATGTCCCTTCATTCACATTCGAGGTGAGGTTGGGAAGAACAAACAAATGTTCTTTTTAGCCTCTGTCCTCCTCGTTTTTCCACGGAATACACGCACTTGCAACTCTTGAAACTTTTCCCACAACTGCAAGCATGATTCAGCGGAATCTGGAAAGTTGTCCGAGTCAGTTCTGAATTTAGGATGTCGTTCAGGTGAGTGTAGAAGCTGCTTGGTTGAAACCCATTACTCCCCCGTGAACGAACAACTTTGTACCAACAAATGCATCATGCCAAACTCATGCCTATCTTGCGTTTCTCCTTCCCTATAAGAAACTCAGCTCGCTACTCCCTTCCCAATGGGCACATCCACCATGGGCACTTACATCAAGGACGCGGCGCACGGCGAAGAGCACATCTTCAGGAGCCAGTACCCTGCAGTCCCTATCCCGAACTCCACCCTTCCGGATTTCGTTCTCCGTGGTGCCGAACTGTATGCTGACAAGGTGGCGTTTGTGGACTCCGTGTCGGGGAGATCGTACACTTACGCCGAGGTGGTTAGGGACACCAGGAGGTTCGCTAGAGCATTAAGGTCGCTCGGTCTGAGGAAGGGGAGGGTGGTCATTGTGGTGCTGCCGAATGTCGCTGATTATGGAATCGTTGCTCTCGGCATAATGGCAGCCGGTGCTGTGTTCTCGGGTGCCAACCCGACGATGCATGCTTCGGAAATCAAGAAGCAGGTGGAGGCTGCCGACGCCAAGCTAATTGTGACAGATGGACCAAATTATGAAAAGGTAGACTTCTCCGACAGAACGCTAACATCTGTACACTGTGTTGCACTATCCTGTATCTTCCCCCGTTTTACAGCAAATGCACCATTGTCCTTGCCGGGTTGACATGAACTCCTTGAGTTTTATATCCACCTCGTGGCAAAGACCGATTATCTGTGGACTTCGAGTCTAAACAGAACAATTCGTGTTAGTGTTTTTGTACACATCCTTCATAGATAGCAGAATTTGTACTTCGTCTAGTCTCCATTCACTCTGACCCAACAGGTGAAAAGCTTTGGCCTTCCGGTCATCGTGCTGGGCGGAGAGCAAATAGATACGGCCACAAACTGGGATGATTTGCTCAAAGCAGGAGACCGTGCAAGCATCAGTACAGTTGAAGAAGATGTCGACCACAACGATCTGTGTGCCCTCCCTTTCTCTTCGGGTACCACGGGGATCTCAAAAGGCGTGATGCTAACTCACAGGAACTTGGTGGCTAACCTGTGCTCCACGCTCTTCAGCGTTCCGCCCGAAATGGTGGGTCACGTCACAATACTCGGCCTGATTCCGTTCTTTCACATATATGGTATTACCGGAATCTGCTGTGCCAGCCTCAAGAATAAGGGGAAGGTCGTGGTCATGAATCGGTTTGATCTCCGGAGCTTTCTCAATGCTCTCATCACACATGAGGTCAATTTCGCGCCGATTGTGCCTCCGATTATATTGTCTCTGGTAAAGGACACAATAGTAGATGAGTTCGACCTCAGCAAGCTCAAGCTCAGCGCCATAATGACTGCAGCGGCCCCACTAGCGCCGGAGATTCTCTCTGCTTTCGAGAATAAGTTCCCAGGAGTCCAGGTTCAAGAGGTGAGTACTGATTACTGGCTATATAAGTCGAGGACTCGATCAGTTTGTGTGGCTATTCTCTTTAAGATGAAATAGAATTAAGGTCCGCAATGAGATTCTAAGGTCTGTTTTACAGGCAAGCAATGTCATTTTGAAATGTGTATGTATGTATGTATGTATGTACGTGCGTATGTGTTAATCTGCTTTCCTTCTCGATCATACTGCGCGTAAGTTACTTTATTTTTATTTCGCTTCCAGGCATACGGGCTAACCGAGCACAGCTGCATAACGCTCACCCATGGGGACCCGAGAAAAGATCACGGCATCGCGAAGAAAAATTCAGTGGGGTTTGTCCTCCCAAATTTGGAAATCAAGTTCATCGATCCAGAGGACGGCCGATCTTTGCCTAAGAACACGCCTGGGGAATTATGCGTCAGAAGCCAATGCGTGATGCGAGGTACAATTCGATTAATTTCTCAGAACATACCAACACATTAGGTTCCCATTTATGCCAGGCATCTGAGCATGTTGTTCTCAGGTTACTACAAGAACGAGGAAGAGACATCGAGGACCATAGACAAGGATGGGTGGCTCCACACGGGTGATATAGGGTACATCGACGACGACGGAGATGTTTTCATCGTCGATCGCATCAAGGAGCTGATCAAGTATAAGGGTTTCCAAGTAAGACTACGGTTCAACTTGGCTGATGCTATATATTGACCTTCGTAAATGAATGTCTATGCATATGAATGTGTTCACTCTGCTGATTGTGTTTCTGTCTCGGGGACATTAAGTTCAAGCAGTGATATGCCAGTAGGAAAGATCACAACTTCCATTAGTATTTTCTAAGTTAGATAAAGTGTTTATAAGAATGCCATATGTTTACAGGTCGCTCCGGCTGAGCTAGAGGCAATTCTCCTTACTCATTCCTCCGTCGACGATGCAGCGGTAGTTCCGTAAGTACAACCTGTCGCATCGGTTCCCCATTCATGTCTAACTCCCGAAAAAAAACGATTAATTTAGTCGTGGAAAGGCCCGACCGTTTTCCCTCACGCACAAATGTGTCCTCCAGGCTTCCCGACGAAGAGGCGGGAGAGATCCCGGCGGCGTGCGTCGTGCTGAACCCCGGCGCCGAGGAAAGCGAGGACGACATAATCGCCTACGTCGCCTCCAACGTCGCGGGCTACAAGCGAGTGAGGGCGGTGCAGTTCGTGGACAGCATCCCCAAATCTCCCTCGGGGAAGATCCTGAGGAGGCTCCTGAGGGACAAGATGATGCAGCACATGCAGATGAAGATCAAGACGAGGGCAGCAATCCTACTCTGAAAGCGACTCGCGCCCTCCCCCCCGCCCCCGTCCGTCAATTTTTACATACGGTACCATATGTCATAACAAATGATTAAAACTCTAAAGGAGGCAGGAGCCCCTTGTCCGAGAATCTCTCGCCCTTTTACTTTTATCCAATTTAAGGCATATCAAAGCAAGTTCCTCTCTCGGAGCCGTCCGGGCCGAATCATACGGCATCATTTTGCTTACCTTCCTTCCGACTTTTAGTAAGGGGTGGGGGGGTGGGGGGTGGGGAGCTTTTGCTTATTAACAAGTACAAAGCAAAAGGGCGAGTAAAAACAAAAGATCTAAGGCCTAGCACGCCCACGTGGACCCGCCCGATTCGACACGCGATCACGCATCAAAGGTGGTGGCCGTCTTTATCTTAATGTTAATCTCAGCTTAGTGCCAACCTCGTTCCACATGGGACATGCCATTTTAATATTAAGCAGTTTGAGGGTCGATTTCCGCCCCCCCCCCCCCCCTCCTCCCCCGCCTATATACGCATATAATATAAAATTAATAATAATAATTCATGCCGAATTGACATTCTTTAATAAAGCGAGGGAGCCCCACCTTTCGCCCTAAAGTAGGGTGATTACTGAATTGTGTTCATCATGTCTCGATCGCATCCCCCACCACTAACCCCTCCTCCTTCTTCCTTCTTCTTCTTTTTCTTTCGCCCCTTTAATTTAATCCCCCCCTACCAAAGAAGTCCAAGTTGCTCCTGAGATGACTCAAAGCCTGAAGGCATCTCCTTTTTTGTGTCCAAAAAAGAAGAAGAAGAGCAAACATCTCGCTGCCCGGTGGAGTCCCAAAATTGCTATTTTTAACGCGATTTTGCTTTGTTCCGTTTTTGTTTTTCCGCCAAAAGAAAAAGAAGAAGAGAAAAAACCCATGTGCCCTTGTGCTTTGGAGTTCATGATTCCGGGTCCAAAAATTATTGTAATGCAATGATTTAAATCGCGGTTTAGAGAATTCGGGTAGAGCTCACGAGACGCTCTCCATTCATTCGCAGTTTTGCTCTCCCCATCGACGAAAGTGCCGTCTCGTCTCGACTCGACTCGACTCGACATAAATGCGACGAGAAGGTGCTTTGAAAGGTCGTGAAATAACCCCCCACGGTCGGAAATCTTACAAGCGTTGGCTTGCTGCATTTCGACTTTGACCCCAAGTCATCGGCGAGCGAGCAAAACAAAGAAAAAAGAAGGCAAAAGAAAACAAAACGAGGGAAAGAAAAGAAAGAAGGAACGGACCCTGGACCCGAGTCGACTCGGTCTGAGTCGTCGCGGAGAAAGAATAAAAAAAAAAGAGGAGAGGAGAAGCGAGAGAAAGGAGGGAGGGGGGTGAACAGTGGTGGTGGGAGGGAGGGGGGTAAAAAAAAGGAGAGAAAACCCAAAGCGTCCAAAAACTGCAAGGCTGTATCCAGTGAGCTTTGCGCGAGAGAGAGCGAGAGGGCAAGTGGGGGAGTAGTAAAAAACACCACCACCACCACCCACCCACCACCTGCCTCCTCCCTCCCTCCCTCCGCCGCCTCCTCCGTCGTCTGCCGTCTCTTTTTTCGGTTTCTGTTTTTTGGTTTTTGTGTCGTGGGGTTTCCTTTTCGGGTTTTTGTTTTCTTGTGGTTATTGAAGGAAGGGGGGGAGGGGTTGGTGCGTGTGCGGTGGTGTGTGTGCGAGAACAGTGCGGGTGGGGAGTGCCCATGATTTTTTTTTTTTCATTCTCTCTCTCTCTCTCTCTGTGCTTTCCCCCAGTCCTAAAAGCTGAGACACACCCCCACACACATACTCAGACCCTCCTCTCTCTCTCTCCCTTCTCTTCTCTCAGTCCTTTCTGCCTCTCTCTCTCTCTCTCTCTCTTTCTATATCTGGTTCAGTTTTCTCCATTTGGCCAAGCACTCCGCCGCGTGACCCCGAAGGCTTCCTCCCCTCCCCCCCTTCCCTTCCCCCTCCTCCTCCGGTAAGATCCCTTCTTCTTCTTCTTCTTTTCCCACCCGGGAGAAAGCAAGCTCCTTTCCCCGATCTGTTTCTCCTCGGGATTTGAGGACACACGGAAGGAAACCGGGTAGTAAAGCGGACCGGCGAGCGAGCGAGCGAGCGGTTCCCACTCTAGCCGCCATATTCTTTCTTCTTTGGGGGGGGGGTGGGGGGGGGGGGGGGGTTTAGGAGAAATAAATCCATGGAGAGCGAGAGAGGGAGAGTAATGGTGAGGGAGGTTGCTAAATCTGGGGGGGAGCGTCCCAGTTTGATGGACGGAAACACAGCGAGCGTGCGGCGCGAGCGAGCGAGCGAGTTCGGGATTTGGTATTCAGTGGGGAGGGGAAAAAGTTGCAGTCCGCCTTTTTTTTAGCTTTTTCGTTTTCCATCTTATCATTCCCCTGCTGCTCCTCCTCTCCCTTTCTTTTCTTTATCTCTTTTTTTTTTTGGGGGGCCGCGAGAAATTCCTGAGCTGCGAGAAAACGGCGGCGTTGGCTCCGGTTGAAAGATTTCTGTTGGAATCTGCAGAAAAATAGTAGTAGAAGAAGAAGAAGAGGAAGAAGCGCAGAGTGAAAGGACCGCTGTGCGCTCGTCTTCTTCTGTTTTTTTTGTATTGATTGTATGATCAAAAAGTCCCGCGGGTGGAGTCGTTGCTGCTGTAGTGATTGTTTTGGGAGCATGGACCAGTAGAAAGGAGGATCTGTTCACGGTTCGGTTTCGTTGGTCTGTCGAGTTGATAATTTTTGTGCGGTGTTTTCCGTGTGATGCCGGCCGGAGGAGTAACAGTAGGTTAAGATAGAGGAGGGGAGTTGTGCTTTTTTGGTTGTCGCCGAGGAATCGAATCGGGTTTGCTGTTTTTTTTTTTTTTTTTCCCTAGGAGCGATGGGATTTGCTCGTTGTCGTTGCGGTTATGGGGGTTGACCATCTTTTCTTGTCGTTTTTTTTTTTTCCGATTGATTCAGAGATTCTGGGGATGACCCGTTCGTGTTTTTCCCCCCGTTAGATCTCTGTGATGGTCGTCGTCGACGTTTCTCCGTAACCGAGACTTTGATTCTTTGTTAGGCGCGTCGTTAGCTGCGACCCGCAGTTCCCCGATTGGGCTGAAGAATATAAGCATCTCGCGAGTTCGATAAGGGTCACGGGGAACTCAATAAATATATACTCTGATGTTTGTAAACATCTCCTTCCGTCCGTCGCTTCCTGTGTTGTCTGACCATTCTTTTGGTACCTTTGATGCGCTATTTTCCTGCAAACACATGAATAAATATTTGCTTGGTTTCCTGTTATTTGCTTCGCGAAAGAGACAGCTAATCGCGTATGGGCTAATGGATGCAGATCTGGTGCCCGTTGCTATTCCGTCCATCGACAGGAGGGAGGTTACGCCGAAAGTAGTTGATGAGTCCAATCTCGCTGATGGAGTGGAATGCAAAACCTCCTCTGCAGTGGGAATGGGAGAATCTTGTGATGTTCAGTTCAAAAGCAACCGAAACCTCTAAGCCACTGCGAGCGACTGATTGGGGAATTGAGGCAGAGGAACTGATCGACCCCGGATCCTTATTTCTGTATGAGAATGGTGGTGGCGGCGGCGGCAGCAGCAGTTGTACCAGCATCGATCCGGGTTACACTTCAGTGTCTAAGAGCTCGAAATCAGCTTCTGTCAACTCTTCATCCACAGAAGAAGTGAAAGTCTCGAAATTCTCTGTGGAGGCACGTGACGGTTTTTCTCTGCAAAGTGGCAAGAAAGATTTGGCAATGAATGAATTTACCGGAATGTCACCACCGGCGCTCGAGTCTTCAGTCTGCTCTGGTGAGCCATTGCTCAGTCTAAAGCTCGGTAAAAGAATCTATTTTGAACATACTATTGACAAGGACCATGGGAAGACCCCAGACCTTCCTTTGGTCATGAAGTCACCTGATACTCCAGCAAAGAGAAACAAGTCCAACTGTCAGGGTACATCTGCCCCACGCTGCCAGGTTGAAGGCTGTAACCTTGACCTCTCCTCAGCTAAAGATTACCACCGCAAGCATAGAGTTTGTGAGAGTCACTCTAAATGCCCTAAGGTCATTGTCAATGGTGTAGAGCGTCGGTTTTGTCAGCAATGCAGCAGGTAATGCTTCCTATGGTCTTCGGATAGTGAGTCAAAAGACATAAAAATTGCCTGACTTCTGTTTCCTTATGCCTCTGTAGCCGATCACTTGTATTTGGTCCTTCGTGCACTCTATCAATAACAAGAAGAAAGTAGCAATTCAGTTTCGAATGGTTTGAGCTTTAACTTACAACTTAATTTCTAACATCAAGGTTTCATGGGCTATCTGACTTTGATGAAAAGAAGCGTAGCTGTCGCAAGCGCCTATCTGATCACAATGCAAGACGTCGCAAGCCCCAGCCAGATGTGCCCCAGTTGAATCCAGCTAGACTGTCTGCGCTATTTTATGGTACTGTAATGTATGCTTTTGGTGTTTCTGTTGCATCGTCATTTCGACCCATCTACTATAATTGGAATCTGATTATCCTTCAGATAACCTTATTGTCCAAATGGTTGAGTTCATTGTTTTGGACTCTGTTGTATGACCAGTGACCGCATTCAAATATTTTCATGTTTAAAGGGCGTGTCTTTTTCAGGAAAGCTTTCTGAGCCGTCACTTGTATTGCTCTTATTTATGTCTCTACATAAAATAGAACCTGCATTCATATTGAAGCTTTTGACTGTCGTATGATCTGTGACTTTGTTTCAAATGTTTTTCCCCCTCTGCTTGACGGCCTTTATTTTTTAGGAAAATTTCTGAACCATCGCCCTTCTACTACTTTTTATTTTCTTAAGTAGATGCCAGATTCACATGGAAACCCTCTGGTGTTTCTATTGGTTTGGAGTATATGATTGAGGTATTAACTTTGATGAGCTTACCGAGTGCAGCGTAACCTAACCTGACAATATTGTTACGATGTTCCCCTTATCCTTTATATGATAATAAATACTACTCATTTTGGACAGTTCCTGCATCCCTGTAATGGATAAGTTCTATCCTGCTTGAAATTGAGTTTGGAGGGCCTAAGTGAATGTCTGCTCTCCTAAAGTCCTTTTGTCATTGATTGGCCCCAGACGTGGGACTTCGGATCAGTAGTTTAAAGTGCAACTTCCAATCTAGTAGGATAGAAGTTTATGAACTTTTAGATACAACGCATTTTGATGGCGATATCGAACTGAACCTGCATTGCAATATCAGTTGATTTTGGTACTGATTTCGATTGATTGTTGAAGATTTAATCTATAGTCTATTTTTCTATCCTTAAGAGTGATATGCTGTGCACAAGGACCCAGTGTCTCCTTTTCATCTTATCTTGTCCGTATGATCTCTGTTTGATTGAGCTTGCATCGATAAGATGGCAAGTGCTAGATATATTGGGTTATAGTCAAACGCATCCAAGCACCTTTGTCATCAATGCCACATGCCATGCACGAGGTGACATTGGTTTTGTTCCTTGCATAAATATGACGTGCTATCCGTACATATTTATCCAGGTGGGCTGCAGCAGTTGAATCCAGTCTTGAGCAGAGCTCCAGCTGTCCACACCAGGTCTGCTGATGGTTTGAAATGGGCAGATACACAGGCTACTAAGCTCATAGAGAAAGGTCCGAAGCTTCCAATAGTCGGGGGTGTTGGTGACTGTATCACCATCTCAAGCAATGGGATACAAAACACCCTCAAGCCCACTGGATTGGGTAAAGGTTGTAACGAACTTCTATCATCAAAAGGCATGCCAGTCAAAACTATTGGCGGAGGTATGATTTGCTATCTTTTAATGCTTTACAACTATGCTGGTAGCTTTTATCTTGTAAATTAGACATGTTCTAGCTGATTACACTATCGATTGATTTACAAACCCATGTTCCTTAATTGACATTAATGTGGTCTATCGATGGAAAAAGATCACTATTCCTCGTGTCATTTGGATGTGCTCTGCAGATGCACTTAGACCTTACACTTTCTCAGCAGAGACCATATTTATGATTCTGATTGGACAGAACTTGGATGCTTGCTCTGGCAACTTGCTTCTACTCAAAGCTTTTTTGTCAGTATCTTCAGATTAGAGTTCTGTAAACTTTCGGAAAGCTTTTCTAAATTTGTTTTTTTCCCATGAAACCACCTAGATGATTGAGGAGCTTCACATTCGCACTGTTTGATATGGGACTGTGCAGATTAATGCATGCATGATTTCAAAGTATTGTGAAATGTCAACTGGTCAAGACAGCAAAGTCATAGAGTGCTACTTCAACATGATTTTGAATCTGACGGTCATACTAAAATTATTCGAGCAGTTGTGTTTCCTTCCCCATAGCTATGACTGGACTTGCTACTTTGGACAGGTTTAGGGGAATCTCTGGCATCTCCCAATTTGGACGCATCGCAAAATATTCAACGTGCTCTCTCTCTTCTGTCAACCGATTCTCATGGTCCAATCAGACAAAAACCCACATCACATGAGCATTCTTTTCATACAAATAACAATTGCGTGAGCGCGGATCAGCCAGCGATGTATGCTTTTGGCCAAAGCTCTAGGCTGGCTTCATCCGGATACTGGCATGCTGAACAGCGGCCAAAGCAATCCCAAACAAACATCTTGAATCCTCACAATGAGAGCAGCATCATCAACTTTGGCGGCAACGGTGTGCAAGAGTGCCTATTCTCGGAGGCACGGCATGAATTTAGCTTCGATTCTGTCCAACTGAACTAACTACATGTGGGCATTTGAAACTGCATTTTCAGGTGAGCCCACAACTTAGTGAACTTCTCTCATTGCATATGCAAATGCGGTCGTGTGCATGCTTAACTTCGTTATATTTGCAGGTAATTGTAGCATGTTGTCATCTTTCTTGTGCCAGCACAGAGTCAGTCAGCTCCATTTTGACTTGGCGATGGGGTGAATATATACTTTGGAAGCTCCTGCGGCCATCAAGCGACCTAAATGCACCAATTCCATGAAACTTTGCGTAAAAAAGGGAAAAACATCGCTAAGTTAACATGTCTCGTACTCTCAGTTGTTTGCAAATGTTGGAACTAGCTTACGCACTTTTTACTTGGAAAAGACTGTGCGAATTGAAACTTGTCGTGTTTATGCTTGCGCATGGTGTAAAGTCTCAATTTTGTACTTGTCGAATACGGTGGGGCATGGATGGTGGAATGAAAGCATTATGCGTGATGCACGACACGCACCTGCAGACCTATAGGCCATATAGGCATATCTCTCTGGGCTACATGCTTTCCAAGAGAGACATCACAGTCAACTGGCTAGCAAATCTTGTGTCTTCAAGCATTTCTAATGGCTGGCTTCTTCCACGTCATTTTCTTAGCCTTTTCTTGTGGGTGTGACGAGCGAGCTTTGCGGAAGAGTCATCATTGAATGATTACTTAGCACATGCTTGTCACGTGCCCTCGTGCGGTTTCATTCTTCCTAAATTCGGAAAACTTAGTCGAAAAACCAAGTTTCTCTTCTGACGTGAGCTTGCAAAGCAACGAGGTTTTTCGAAGTGCCTCTTCTTATCCAACGAGGAACCTCGGCACGTCGTATCATCGACTCCTTGGTCAACCCAAGTCTCCGGTGTCGGTGTTGGATTCAGAACACCGACGGAATCAGTGAAAAGAAAGATCCAGTCACGTTTTTCCTCGGCCGAGCTATGCTCCACTTTTGTACCACTCGCTCGAAGAAAACCCGTTACGTATACAAGAAACTTCACCGTCAATTTCATTCTGATTAACCCAACTTTATCATTTCTTTCAAGGAAATCATTTCTCAATTATTAGGAGGAATCCCTCAGCCAGCAATTACGCCTGGGGCAACCATTTACGCCACGTTCCGATTTCCACTTGACATGACCCCATTAGAACTTAAATCACGAGTAGATCCTCCCATATTACTTAATCCTCTGATGTTCATGACCAGATGCTGCAATGGTACAGTGGCGTCATAACCGTAACTTGAGATTCTAGTTCATATACATAACCAACACGTGCTTAGCTCACCAGTCTAAGAGCCCCGCCCTGATGCTGCTTAATCGAGCATAGCAAGTCCTCACCAACGACTTAAACTGGGCTGTCCGCGAAAAGAGTAGAAACGACATTCAAGGTGCAGCAACGATACACTCGCTTGGCAACCCCCGAACCAGGTACTAGAGTTCCCGACAAAATTTTACGAAAAGAAATTAAGGCAACTTTAAATGTTACTTATTTATATGCTCGAAAGAGATTTCAAATGCCCGATCATAAGTTCAAATTTTCTAACTCTAAAAGTCAAGCTAAAAGACAGATTAGAAGACGCTTAGCCTTCTCCTATAAAATAAAATGGAGGTTTTGACCTAAACAAAGCAATATCCTAATCCGTTTCATTAGATACAACCAATGGCCTCAATTACTGATGAGTGATTGCAATCCATCAAGCTAAAAAGCCATGGTAGAGAGAGCTAATAGCTTAAGCAGAAAAATCTAAAATTGCTCATAAGACGTGTAATGGTCAGTTCACGCATGCATGCACGTCAACGACTTGATTTGGAAGCAACCAACGAAAAAGTACAGCTCAAAACCATAATGAGAAAATTGCAGAAAGTCATAGATCCATAGCAAAGTAAACCCTACGCTTCTGTTATAGTAGATTTCACTATGGATGACACCCTTCTGTTGTTTTCGGTAAAGTAGAATTGACCTCTGTAGCAAGAATAGTGTTCGGGACCACTCTGCATATTTACCATAGGAGAAAGAAAACAAGTTGAAACTGAAGCAACGCAAAAGTGACGGAACCACTATACCCAGAGGATAGCCTCAAACTCCAAGACTCCCCTTGCAGCACATGTAACTATCCTCACAAAAGCAAGATATGTTTCGCACATTGAAACAGGAATTATACCACTAGCAGTTGGCCCCGATCAAGTCTATTATTTCACGACTAAACCTTGAAAAGGTCATGATAGCCTAGCATTGATGCATTGGATGCAGCACAAACCACTTCCTAACAGAAATTATCAATATCAGCACACTGCACTGCCGTAAAGGTGACTTCAATGTCATAATAGCTAGAGACAAATGACTTCACTACAATTCGAAACTCATAAATTCCAGACTTTCGACAATGAAAATACTTCACCACATAAATAATAACTGAACCAAGGAAAAGAAGTAACACCCTACCCCTATCTTAACCAGCGACAAAGACCAAGTGTACATTGGTATTATTGCACCAACTGGAAATGAGAACTTAGTTGCAGGAGCATAATGACCTACGACAACTGGAACCAACCTCGATAATACGTCCAATGCTAAATGGCTGGCACCTTATTCATCAAACAGATCCACAAAGACAAACCATACCATTACAATGACCTGCACACTTCATGGGAAGGTTGAGTAACTTGAAAACAACTGCAACACGAGGACAACAAGACTGACTTTGAGACAACCATACTGGGCAATGCTGGACGACAACTCTGGACCTTCTCAACCCTCATGTATGTCCTAGTACTCACTGGAAAAGTAGATAACTGCTTATCAATAAGGGCATAAAAGAATTGTTCCATTCGATATAAAAAGTTAAAAGAGGGCTGAAGCAGCGGCACAAGGCCAAGGTTGGCAATTAGCCCTTCGAAGAATTCACCAATACAATATGGAATTGGGAGTAGGAAACAAAAGGAATAATATTCTGCATTCTTTAAGTATGTACTAAAAAGGTGGCTTACAAAGATAACAATGATTTCAAACAACAAATACACACATATCAAGTGTACATAACAAACCTGTTCATTTTCATCCTTGTCCTGGGAAGGGGACTTTTCAGGTTCAGCAGGCTTGTCAGCCCCACAGTTTTGTCTATTACATTTTGTTCTGAACGGATAATTTATGTTTCCACATTGCTCACACTTCCAGCTTCCGTCTGGCATTTTTTGTTCTGGAGCATGTTATGCATTCATTAGTTACCAAAAAATTGTAAAAAGTACGTGCATTTGCTAATAAAATGACTTACTCGAACTTTTATCAGACTTTGAAACCTGCAATATGGGTAGGAAAGAAATTAGCACTACATAAACAAATCAAGAGGAGTACACCATATTGAATTTTATCCAAATGGAATCAAGAGATAATTTTAATGAGACAGGCAATAGTAAACTTGACATGACAGAAATTTACGATCAGGTATTTACACCTTGTTGATAGAAAATGTAGCACAGACCTGGGATCCAGGCTTTGGAGTATTGCACTTCCTCATGTTGCAAACTATTCTAAAGGAAAAGTTGACATTTCCACATTTCGGGCAAGTCCAATCATCATCTCGTGTTGCATCTACAATGATTAAAACCACGTTTATATTTTGTGAGATGCGAATGCCAGAAACCCTTTTGTATTTGATCTGATGAAAAGTTTCAAAAAACAAACTTCCACCTTTTCTTTGAGTTTTATCATCTGGATACAAGCCTGGCCTTGGTCCCTGTGTGGAGACACAAATATAGAGTTCTATTGCGTGAATAAAACAGTTTAACACCCGTGGTAGAATACGAATAAACTACGAGATAACTTGTCATCCAGTATCAGGCGAAATTTCATACATACCATACCACTAGGTGCCATGGGCAAACGTAATCCGTATCGCTCCATCATAGGGGGCATACCATACATTCCTAAGGAAAGCAAAAACTGCCGAATATAAGAGTGGGGGAATAACAATGTAAACATTATCATGCATCCAACCAGACATAGAAGGTACCGACAAAAAAAAAAAAAAAAAACAGACATCAAAGGCGCATACGACAAACTGCAATAGACAAGAATCATTTATGGTTCAAGTTGTGTCTTTACATGGACTCCTGTATGATTCCAAACTCTCCATACTCAATATATCCAACAAATAATAAAGGAATATATCTTAAAGGAGCCAGAACAATCAATTGAGAAATGTTGTGTAAAATGTAAGATGAAAAATTGCAGAATCACAAAAACATAAATGGCATACTCATGATTCAAGTAGGCATTTTTAAGTAGGAACCTTGACCATTATGATGACCGCACTGAAACAGAACATACCATTTCCCATCATGGGTCCACTTGAATATGGTGCTGGTCCAGATAGGTGTAGTGATCTGTAAGGGCTGCCAGGAGAAAGACGGCTGCCATAATTGTAAGGATAAGCAGAGCCCCCAGGAAAAGGTACCTCATATGGAGAAATGGAGGGCGCATGGAAAATAGAAGAACCATAGGGTGGCACACCCATAAACATAGAGGAAGGAGACCCAGGACCCATGTATGGTGATGCGGAGGAAAAACCCTGGGGTGCTTGCATGGGCTTCATGGCAAATTTCTGCATGGAATAAACAGACATTACAATTAGAAATGGCATACTCATGATCAAACCAAAGGACGTGCAGAATCAAACAAAAGAGGGAAAACGAACACATCTCTTGTTTTCAACTGTCTGATAACAATCTCAGGAGAGCTACAACGAGGCAAACTGACAGGACATTAGTATCGCAACTCATGCAAAGTACTAGATCAGTAACTTCATTTGCAAATACTAGTCAAACTGTCACCAGACATAAGCATACAAGTGACTAAAATAATCAATATCGTCAAGCTATTTCAACCTATCATATGTCTATTGACGACGATCGGCACTAATATATATGGCGCAACAGAACAAAGTGATATTCAGATAGCGGCAGAATAAATGCCAAACACTACAGTTGCAGACCTAAATGAGTACCGACTGAAAAGAAGAGGCCTTAAAATTTACTTAGCAAACACTCGGGCGGAATATAAAGTTTCTCACCGAATTATGCTCCGCTGGCCTTGGTTGAGTGCAATTTCGCATGTTGCACGTTGTTCTGAACGAAAAGTTAACATTTCCACAACTAGGGCAAGTCCAATCATCTTCCCTGCGGCTACCTACAAACAGAAAATGCTTATTTTCACGTACGAATGCCAACAACTTCCAGCTAGCTCGAAGAAATCCATTACAGAACATCGAGCAAAGCCAAATTAGGTTGACATGAATCAGAAAGAACCAACTTCAAGAAGACAACACTAACACTAAACAGCAGCCCCTTTTGTGCACCCAACACTAGATTACAAGACTAAAACTAGAGAGAACGTGATCGAGACAAGCCGGAGCTTCGATCAGTAAAATCTGAGGAACAACAATTATCCTCAGAAACACCCGCCGCTAATTCACCAGCGCTAATTCTAACATGGAACACAAAATTTTCCGCCCTCTTGCCACAAGGCCCCGCACAGTACCAACACAGACGACGAAACAAAGAACGAGACAGCACCAATTAGGAATTCGATTACACCGACATGTTCCCCCTGCACAGCAAAAGGCAACAGCAGCAGCAGCAGTAACAAACCAACGCGACAAAAGAAAAACAACGTTCACGAGGGGCGAGAACTCGGGTACCGTCCGTTCTGGCGCGCTTGACGGCTGAAGAATTGCGGTTGTCCACCTGCGCAACGTCCAATTTTTCGCCACAGGATCAGTCGAAAACCTACTCTCTCGAAATCGACGCGGCGGGGAGCGGGAGATTCGACCGTTCGAATGGATCGCACGACGAGGCTCGATTAGGACCTTCGAAAGGGACAGGGATCAGAAGGAGAAGCTCACCTGAGACATGGCGATGGCCGGAGATGTTCTGCTCGAGATTCCGATTTCCGATGCGAGAGAGAGAGAGGGAGGGAGCTGCTGCTGGTGCTGTAGCTCTTTTGGCTCTTTTGGTTTGGTTGTTGCCCTAGCTAGCGGAGACTTGGAGAGCGCGCAAAGACAACCCCCCCCCGCGTTGTGAGGATGATGCAATTTTTGCTCCAGTAAATTCTTTCTTTTTTTTTTTTCTTTTTATTGGCCAGAATTGCTCGAGTTAATAATTGATATAATTCTTGTACCGAAAAAGGAAAAAAAAATTGATAATAACGGCAAAGTTCTTTTTCCCATATTTGGGTGCTTAAAAAAAAGGGTAATTATTTATAGACGGTTCTTCGACTTTGACCAATGTTCGTTTTGGTTCCCGAACTATTAATTTGTTCGACGTGATCCATGAATTTTAGCTCGATACGCAATATCGTCCTTAACTAGTCTATGAACTAAATATTTTCAATGAACTTAAATTAATAGAAGGATAATACTGGATATTTTCATATGGTCCACGGACTAATTTGGATACGTACTAAAAGTTTAAGGATCACATTGAATAAATTAACAGTTCAAGAATACAATTGCACATTAGGGTAAAGTTCAAATGCCGCATTGAACAAATTAAAAAGTTCAAGAGCCATATTATACAGTTGTGCCGTTATCTCTTTAGTTTTTGTAATGTGTGTAAATTATTTTAAACTTTTGACACGATCTTTATTTGCATATGGACCGAAAATTACTAAATCCATCCAATATCAGGATTAAAGAATACCTTGGCGACCAATAATGTCAAAAAAACAAAGCATGGGGATTGAAGTTGAACGAGGACAAATAGTACATATACCATTTTTGTATGTTTCCTCAATTATTGATTTGTTTAGTCCACATCGTCTCCGGTCCTTGGTCATATTTTTCGATCAGAACATGAAAATTTGTCTTGAAATCCGAACGAATATTAGTTTGGGGATCAAATCAAATCTGTCGCTGCACAAATTATGAGAATCAAACCTAAAAAAATGGCGATAATATATGGATCATGTTTTGTAATTTCCTCTAAAAATATTTCAAGATGAATTGTACCCTTTTTTTTTTTCGGGGAATAGAATGTAAACCACCCAAAATAATTTCACGACCCGAATTTAACAAATTATTTTGGTTCACAAATCATTTTCGTGGCTAATTTTACCCAACTGAAGTCCACATTAGCATATAGGAATAGGACAGGAATTGCCTTTACCAAAACAGAACAAGGTCAATAACACCAAACTCAGAAAGGAAAAGCATGTTTAAACCAAGTACAAATTAACGAGAAGAGATTGTCCCAACTCTACAGAAGAGCGAGGACGAGGAATCCCAAACTTCACTACAAATTGTAACTAGGCCGCGATCGATGAACCTTCACCACATCGCCGACCGCTCAAACCTCGAACCAACGGGCAAACAAGGCGAAAAGGACGGTCGCGAGAATCGCCATGGCGCTCATGCACCTGTGCACGACTCCGCTCGAGGTGTCATTGGCTTTTTGGGGCAACGACGGCATTCCTGTTCCCGCGGTCACCGGGGCGGCCGTCGACGAAGAGGCGTTGGTGAATATCGCGTAGTCCGGAGACGATGGAGGTATGCCCAGAAGCTCTGCAGATGTGAACATGGAATTCCAGAGTTAATAGCACGTATTTGATCATAATCGTCGTCGGGACACATCTTCCAAACTCGCCTATTCATCAAAACACATCGAATGTTTCTTCATAAAACGACAGCGCTTGGACAAACTTAGTGATTACATTTTAAAATCCCGTGGCTTCCGCACTTTGACATTTTCTCGGCACGACTCGACTACAATCTATTTCACTAATACAAATACCAAGTACGCATATTCACGTACAATCATTCTGCGCATGAATTTCACCAAACTAAATAAGCAACGCGAAATCACCAAATCATTCGATAAACAAATTTCGGTATACAGAGTCGCGACATCTCTGGCGTCGCCCCCTCGAGCTAACCTAACTCGAGAAAATGTTATCGATCTTTAACTAGGCACCTTATGCCTGTGTCATCATTTTCCGCAATAAGCTTCAACCTCTCGAGCAATAATTCTCTTTCTTTCATTTTTTTAAGGAAGTAAAAAAGATGCCAAGAGACAAGGCAAAAGTATCTCAAAAATATATGATTTAAGATATTTCAAGTGAAACGACAGACTCTTCTCTTTCCTAGGATTTTAATGAAATTTCAGTATCTGTTACGTCCGACCGCCGCATGCTCATTGAACTTCGAGCCTTCGAGGGCAAATGGTAATCACGCAAAACCAGTCACGAGAGAGAGAGAGAGAGAGAGAGAGAGAGAGAGAGAGAGATTGGGTTTACTGGGGCAGTCGCTGATGCTGGAGTTCTTGAGGTCGCAGGCGGAGGGGAGCTGGAGGAGGAGGGACTCCTGGATGTTCATGCTCTTGATCATCGGGCTGCTCCCGTTGTGGATCTGCTCGATGAAGAAGCAGAGGCACGCCGGGTCGCTCTCCCTTATCTCCCCCACCGACGCGCAGCACTGCTTCGACGGCGCCGCCCCCTTCCCCTGCACGAAGTCCAGGCACGACGTCACCTTGTCGAAGTCCCCCACGCAGTGCTGCGCCACCGGCGACGCCTCCGCAGCCGCCGCCGCCGCCCCCGGCGTGAGCGAGGCCGAGCACGCGAGCGCGACGCCGAGCAGCAGGAAGAAGCCGGGTCTCATGGCGCTGCGCAGGAAGAAACTGGGGGGGGGCGGGGGGATCGAAGATGGCGAGCGCGAGAGAGCGAGAAAGAGCGTGTGCATGCGACGCGAGCGATAAAGAATGCTTCGTCACAGTGCGGTAGGGAAGGGGATGATGTGGGGGGGCATTAATGAGAGTTTGTTGAAGCTGGGGAATCGAACTGGGGCCGCCCGATCGGTGTGTGGGGCCCACGCGATGATCCGACGGCTGCGGATGAGAGTAGAGAGATGACAAGGCACGACGCCTTCATGTATATTGTCGTCTCGTCTGTTTTGTAGCAACATTTTCACGTGCAGAGGAAGTGGTTCCTTGGTCCGCAATCTGCATGTAATCTCGTGGAGTTCCGCTTAGGCAAAAGCTTTTGCTAGATGCGGTTTTATCTCGAGGCTATGCCGGGCAACTCGAACCGACTGTTTTCGGATTCGATAGCATGTGCGACATCTATCTAAGGTAACTTCGCATATAATGAGTGCGACATTTGACCAACGCCGGAAAAAACACATGCTATACACGCCATAAATAACTCGACTTGACTCTTTCACCTAACCCTCGTAAGCCCACAAGGTTGTAAAACCGTTCTTGTTCAATATGCACCCGGAACGTTCCCGCCATATCAAGAGAGAGCGCCGAAGCCATTTTCGCCTGCTTGTCCCGACCATTCCCGAGAGTTTCAAACTTAACGGCGACTGCATAATCAAACTCAGCGCAGTTTGAACGAGCTGGCTGCGAATTAGATCAGGATTAGATGGTTGCCAATCTTTTGTTCATCGGCCGCAGATAGTTGATAATTCGGATCGGACATTACAGTTTGACCAAAATGATAAAGACAAGGGCACTCGGGCGGAGTCTAATTGTGGAGTCGGGAGGGTATTAAGTGAAGCCTTTAAGATGGGCAGTTGGGGCGCTATTTAGTGCCAATGGGGTTTGGTCGTTCGATGTGGTCGGTCGTGCCTGTGCAGGCGCGCAGGTCGCCGGGAGGAGTAATGGAAGAGCAGCGACGCTTTTAAATGAGCGTCGAGCCGTAGTCTAGTCTTGCCCATCTGCACACAGGTCTGGAGCCTCCTCGTACTTCTCGCCAACGTCGCTGCTCGCTCGCTCGCTCGCTGTCTCTGACATAACACATGCGCATCGGACAACTGTTCTCCAAAATCGAAAAGAACTTCGTTGCCTAATGTCCTTAAGACATGTTTGAGTAATCGAATGGGCGAATATGTGACGCCTCTAATGTGTCCTGATTTTCTTGCGAACCCTGTAATCCGTGTTCCGAGGATTGAAATTTCGCTTTGCGACGGGTGTTTGCACGATGGATTATTGGAACATCTTCCCATTCGATTTCGCCAAATTCCATGTTTTAGTCTTCCGAATTTCGTATCTTTTTCAGCGTTGGTCCTGGTTTTCTACCGTTACTTTGTCATGTGATAACAATTTAGTCTTTTAAATTGATGCGTTTCCCCCCTTCAGAGCAGACAAAACTAAAATAAAGATAACGAGATCCCATCCCTCCTGCCAGCGGAAAACCTTTCTGTTTCTATATGAGCGAGTCGTAGCTTAATGCCCAAGGGATAAAAAGCCCAATAAATAATTTCTTTTGTCGAGTTATAGTATCGAGTGGGGGTGAGCAAAAGGAACTACCTGGATCGAGGCGGTCCCAGGGGCACCAGCCCAATTCTCACTTCCAAAAAATTGGAATCACTGATTTTCGGTTCGATTCTTGATTTGATAGGTGGAACCGCTCAACCGGATTAAACCGATTTTTTTTTATTTCTTACAAATCTGTAAAAACTAAAAGGCCATAATCCTTCATAAACCCTCCAGCCATAAACCCGAGTCGTTCGCCCTAATTCACGAACTCTCAATCACTCTCTCGCCCTAATTCATGATCACTCAACTCTTAGACGATGGACGCCACCCTCTCGCCTGCATTGCTCGCTTCCCTCTTGCTTAACACCTACGCTCACTTGACTCTTAGACGCCCCCGTCTCGCCTAAGTCGCTCACATTCCTCTCGCTCGACACCTCCATTTCGCCGTCTCGAGTTTGGCATCTCTTCCCTGCTCTATTTTTGGCCAATCGTGATTGCAATCGCATCTCATCAAGGTAAATATCCAACGCTCTATTTTTTTTTTCTTGCCGTTCTTCATATTCCATTTTCGATGTTGCGCCTAGATCTTGATTTCGATCTAATCATGTCTGTGTTCGTTAAATTGCCTAAATGAAATGCATGTAAAAATCTGAAAAGTAAGTCGGTCCCTCTTTTTGTTGCCGAACGTTGACCCTTCGTGAGATATGCTTCTTCTTTCACTTTTTTTTGGCTCTCTTGCGGGAGAGTTTCGTGTGTATGATTGGTTGGGTTTTAGCTCGTTGATTGTGTTGAGTTTGGTGGAGCTTGAGTGAGGCTTAATTGATCGTCTTCAAGCTTGATTTCGTCTGTTGCGACCAATTCTATTGGCTCGCCCGGGAAGTGTACCATTTTTCGATTCCAAGAGCCGGGAACCGGCATTTTTGGTTCGGTTCCCGATTCCTAGGTAAAACCTGATCATCAAGAAATCGATCATCCCTACTAATGAGAAAAATTAAGCGTGCAGCGACCATCATTCTCTCACCTACCTTTTAACTCGAGATTTGCTACCAGAGTCCCCCTAGCGAATTTGCGAAGAGTTGAGCTTGGATGGCTGGACCACACCACCCGTGATGACCAAAAACCATGTGTCGCAGAGCAATGACAGCTTGGATGGCTGGACCCCAGTGCAATGAAAGCTTTACTTTGGGAATCCCGACTCGTACACCGAATTTACTACCCAGCGCCCACCAAAGTCACAGGCGCAGCTGGGGAGAAGGACATAATAGCGACGGTACCTCTGAGCGCCAACGGCAGTACGACCCCTTCATACCTCGTTCGTCGTCGTTGCTTTCTTGGTCCCGATAGCAGACCATCCCCGCTGATGGAAATCGTGTCCTGATCTTCATAAAGACCCCGGAAACTTCTCGCGTTTTCTGAGGCTCGAACGTGAAATCTCACTCGGCAGAAGGGCAATTTGCAACATGGCCTTAACTCAATTTATAAGTAGACGATTTTTCGAGACATCCAACTTATTTACCCACTAGCAGTTCGAAACAATCTTGGCAGAACTTTCGAACACGGGGACAAACCATCCACGACCCAATGCTCTATTGTCGCATGAATGACTTGTTGGGAAAATATCAACATGAATCGGGAAAAACAATGAAGTAAAACTTTGAGGCATTATATCACTTTCTTTAAAGAATTATTTACCCCATAACGTTGCTAATGGTTATCGACCAAAATCCCCCGTGATACAATAAAGTTTCAATGAGAATACCAAATAGCAATTATAGTATTTCTCTAGGGTCTCTCAAGGGAAACAATCAGAAAATGTGTCTGTATATTTTTTGGAAGAAATGGAAAATGGTTGTTTTTATAATGAACAAAAATGTTGAAGAAGTTATATGTATTGAATAAACACAACCTTTCAAATATGAGGAAGTTATGTCCGAAAAGACACAACCTTCCAAAGATTGTAAGAGAGCCTAATTAAAGTTAGGCAGAAAATCAAAATTCGAAATTAAATTATTAAAAAATAACCGTCACTCTATTGCGAACAGTCATACTGTTTCAACAGGACAAAAGAGTTATATTATAATAATAAATTGGAAATTTAATAAATAAAAATAATAATCGTTGATTAGTGTCAAATCTCGTCTACATGCGCACTCACATCCTTTCGATGTGGGACAGGGCATCTCGTTGTTTGTTTTACGATCAAACTATCAACAATCCCCCACTCTGTGTTTTTTTTTTTTTGGTAAGGTAACAATCTCCCACTTTGTTTGTAAAACAAAATTGAAATAAAACATTAAAAATATACGGCCAAAATTTCCACAAGACTAATATACATACATAAAGGTCTCTTTCGAGTTAAACCTTTATTTAGTGCAAGTACCTCAAAATTCTATAAAAGTTTCAAGTAGCTATGCTTTAAACTTGCCACTCTAATAATATAATCGAATATACCGCACATATATCAACCTCTTGTTTCAGCGAGAAGTTCTAATTTACTCGGCACTATTATGGTATTATGTTTGTACCTATTTCATGAGCTCTCTAGAGAACAATTCTAACTTTTGTAAGAAGCAGCACCACTTCTAAGCTAATATAGGCGAAGTATCTAGAATGTGTTTTTGTTACTAATAACACTTTGTAATATGCTTCATTAAGAATTTAATTTAACCTACAAAACGTAACAGACGATACTGACTTCTCAGGTCCGGGCTAATGTCGGCATCAAACAATTACTTTAAGTAAATTGTTCATTCCAATTAACGTTGTACATTTTTTCCCAACATGACTGACTTCTGAACGATGAGAAGTGCATTCGCAGAAGAGATCTTAGGACATGAGCGTTGAGACCGACGGTCGCATCAAAGAGATATGTAGGAAGGATTAAGTTAAATCTGTGCGTCGTCCGTCCACTTGCCGGAGCAATACCAGTAAAATCTTGTGCGAGGCCCGTGTCAAGAAGCGCGAGCGAAGACAAACTAGGCCCATGGGCTGGTTCGACTATGTAGGCGTGTGCACTGATTTGGCGGAAGAAAAGATATCCCACATCGAGCTAGAACTGACAAGTGGAACGGTTCTTAAGGAGCGAGGAAGCGAAGACTGAGCACGACCTTACTTGAACAGGATCTGTTCTATAGGCTCGTACCTCTGTGTCCTTGATACCTAAGGAGACAGGAACCAAAGTCTGGTGGATGAACTGTGGCTGTGTGATCAGAGCGTGATTAACAGCTCTGGTGGGTTCCCTGGACCTGCCCGTGCTGTAGAGGATCGTTCCCAGGCGATGCAAATTGCCTGAGATGGTCACGCAGCTGTCTGACAGACTCTGAACTTTTTCTTTTTCGTGTGTGTTTTTTTTTTTGAGATGGTCACGTAGAATTTGTCGAGTCAACTTATAGGATTTTTCGTCAAGTTATCAAATTGAATATTTTGGTATCGAATTTGGGTTATTTTACGTTGCTTCTTATCTAAATCTATTAGTTTCTTTGTAATTTATAACTCAGGGGTTGGAACATCTCTATTCCTTACATATTTGTTTCTTAGCTATTTGAAATAATTAGAGTAGGTAGTAGTGCAACGGCAATTGGTATTTTTATTATGTTAGCTAAAACTTATTTGTTCTTGTTTATTTTATCACAACAAGATGGACTTTCCCCTAGACTAAGAATATCGATCATTAAATTTTGGATGAAAGTTTCTTGTTGATTAGAAATTGGAAATTGGGCGTACGAAAGAAGCTTTGCTTAATTACAGTATTGATTTTAAAAATTGTAATTTTCGTGGTAACTATGTTGAGTATTGTCCACAAAATTGTTTATGGTCCGAATAGATATTTGAGAGATGCGGCGAAAATTATGAAGCTCCGGATCTTTACTTCATTAATACATCAAATACAAAATATAAAAATCAAGTTCTTCGGATATTTATATAATTTGTTTTTGGGGAAAAAAAAAAGACAATATGTTTGTCCCTCGTTTACTTTCACCAGCAGTCAAATTAATTCACAGCGAAGTCTCGAACGACCTCTTCCTCACCAGCAGGCACGTGATCCTCGACGGCTGCACGTGCACGCTCTCGAGCGTGCACACCACGAAGTCCGGCCGGTGGAGCGCCAGCGCCAGGTGGTGGTCGTCGGCGAACACCATCGCCGCCGCGTCCAGCAGCACGTGCCACGAGTTCCGGTGGGCCTCCGATATCCAGTGCATCGAGTACCTCGTCCCGTCCACCGCCGCCGGGTACGCGAACAGCCCCTTCGGCACGTGCTTGCACTTCTTCCTGAAGTACTGGCTCAGCTGCGACCCCCTGATCCGGAGGTCCAGCCACGTCGCCGGCGCCGGCACCGCCTTCGCCTCCTTCGCCGCCGCGAAGTCCCTGATCGGGTCGTCCTCCTCGCCGACGATGGTCAGGTAGTAGCTCCCCCGGGCGAAGGGATAGCTCTCCCCGATCATCACCATCGCGTCCCTGTAGCTCGGCGCGAACAGGACGAGGTAATCTTCCTCCGTCAGCCCGCAGTGCCTGAGCGCTCGGTTCCGTGCTTGGATCTCGGGGATGGAGATGAAGTTCGCCTGCGGCGACGATTTCTTCGTGAGGATGTCGAGGAGCCTGGACGGCTCGAGCTGGGTCCGGTCGAGATCGGAGAAGCTGCGACTGAAGGAGGGCGAAGCAGAGGAGGAATCCCTTCTCGGCGACTTGCGCTTGTCGTCGGAGGCCGCGACGGCGTCGGGGTCGTCGGCGGCGGAGAGACTGTCCACGTCGAGGGCGTGAGGCTCGACGAGGCCGTTCGAGTACTGGGGATATTTGGTGAGGATGTACTGTTCGACGTATTGCATTTCGCTCGGGGTGATGGGGCCTGACCATCTCAGGTCGAGCCCGCGCAGCGTGGATATGGCTTCCGCGACCAGGTGAGCTGGAATCACACTGTTTACTTTCTGTTGATCGCCATGAAAATGGAAAACAAGAAATTAGGAGACAGAGATTGGTTTCGGTCAAGATGGCGAAGGAATGGATTAAGAAAAGCTTGCCTTGATGACCATGCTAGTCGGTCTGCTACTGCTGCTTTGACTCGACGGCCTTGTTGGCGATGCCTCGAGCTCACCATCACCATCTACAATGACCTGATTAAGAGCACAAGAAAGTTTTATCAAACCCCTTTTCGAGTATGTTCATGAAACAATCAAGAAATCTACCAAAAAGATGACAGACAGGAGTTTTGATGATGGGAGAGAGTGAGAGAGAGTGCGAGAGAGAGAGATGGGTTACCTTCAAATCTCCATTAAGAACAACGCTTTCTTCACTGTTTCTTCCCATGATTCTCCTAGCTTTGTCAAGGGGAAAAGAAAAGAAAAGGAGAGAGAGTGGCGTGCGAAAGGAAAGATGCCAAGTCTAAATGGTATGAATCTGGAAGTCGAAGTGGAAGGTGGTAATGGAAAGTGATTATTGCGATTGGTGATGCACTTATAAAAGCATAAACAAGAGAAGTGACAAGGAGAATAGCGCCGACGGTGACGAAAGTTATGTCCCACATCAAGGAAGATTGAACAGAGTACTGAGCCAATCTGATTGTACGTCAATTCTAACATTCAATCCCTTCTTCTCTCCATGTTTCTTTCCCCACATAGCTCGGAGATTTAAAGTTCACAAACGACTGAGATAATGACTGTGTGTAATCGTTCTGGGATCCACGGTTGTCGAGTCCCTGAGCGAATTCACAATGTCAAATCCGCTGGCAGTCAAATCTGTGACCAAAGCTTTGCTTGCTTCGGGAACGTTTCTACTTTCTTACTTCTGCTGTTTTTACTTCTGCTCGCTTCTAGAGATATAGTCGTCATGAAGGTCTCAATCAAGGGAGTTCTGTTGGTCCAAAGTCAGCGGCTACGAAATGTACAAATTGCGACTATTTAACATCTAATTGCATATGATTAAAGAATGCATGTGGTCCTCTTAAAGAACGACGGCGACTGCTTGAACAATTTAGGACGTCGAGAAATGTTTGGAGGGCCCATTCGCGAGGCACCCATTCTGCAAGAAAAGTAAAATTGGAATCTTTTTGGACTCGAGAAGGGCCAATCTTGAAGGGACGATCCGCGACCCATTGGACCGTATATTATATTAATTGGAGGAGCTTATTGTTAAAATTCATGCCTCAATTACCACTCTCCGAAAATCATATCCTAATGCAGGCAACACCAGGTTCCCGTACAAAGATGTGATCTTTATTGCTTGTGGCCAAGCCAACAGCTACTTTAACTCTGTTCCATGGCCCGGTGGTATTTGACAGTGAGGAACGATTGGTTAAACAGTAAAACTCGACGAGAAGTTAACTTTTCTTGCTCAAGATTCCACACGACCGGACGGTTGACTGACAAAACCACAACTAGAGTCCAAATTACTACTACTAGGATGTAAAATTTGAGGTCAAAGCAGGAACAGTCTCGGACTATTGACGAAACAGAGCAACCGAACAACCAAGATATCAGGGGCTCGATAAGTAGTAAAACCACTTTAAAGTTAGCCTCACGTACGCAGTTTCACGTAAGTTTTGCACTAGGGATCATTCACCTTTCGGTACCAATATGTACAGCAACTCTCACCCAGCACCCAACATCCACCTGAAGTAATTAGGAACCTCATCTTTGACTTCCTTGACAGTGAAGATTGAGAGCCCGGCGAGCAGCCACTGCATATTGGGATTACAAAATTCAATCTCGCGGCGTGATTGGAGATACATTGAGACTGAAGCCTAAAAGGGTGGTGTGCTGGTGGAGGCAATTCTGGACATTGGCCCGGCCGTCCCAATCAGCCCGCAGTGGAAAGTGGTTGGTCTGCGTCACTGATGGTACATCAGGACTGGTCTTTTACAAAATTCGGTCAAAGGTGCCGACGATCAACAACGACGGATATGGTTTCTTAATGCTTGGACCTTTATTGCCAAGGCATCTGTGCAGCATTTTCTCCAACTACTAAACCCCAGCACAACTTCATTACCATATTTAATTTGATTTCTCATGAAGATTGACAATAAATTTTCTCTAGTTCGATCAAGAAAACAGAAGAAGCATATTCACGCACTCTCTTTTTGGTGAAGTAAGTAGTAATCTCGTGCCTTCGGGTCTGTAGAAGGTTAACCAACGGTGACTAATGCTACCAAACTGCGACGGCATGCAAAGCGACCAAACCTTCCTTCTATTGAGGAGGAGGAAATGGGTAATCAGGGTTAGAAATTATCACCAACCTCGATTTCCTCAACAACTTGATTTCACCACGCCAGCCAAAGACACGGCCACATGCTAACAATGTCAGCATAAGTTGGAGATCAGGAGGTATCAAGGAAAACGAATTCTGATAGCTAAATATGAACTCAATTATGAACTGTTCAACCCTACTTCCTGCAAAAGTGCTACTTCGCATTCCAACATCACGGCGCAGAGAAACTAAAACCTGCCCCATTTTTATGCAGGGCAATAATTTATCAAGTTGATGATGTCGTCAGAATAGTTGCGTGTGTAAGTTTTGGAAATTCTCTCACAAACCACACTCTTTCTTTAGATGCTTCTAGTGTCGACCATTCAAGCCGAAATTAGTAAACTCAAATTCACGTCATCAGTTACCATTCATGCTGAAATTAGTAAACTCAAATTCACTCAAATTCACATCATCAGTAACTCCAAACCGATATGGTTATACCCAACAGGGATTCTGCGATAACAGCAACAAAGAAGCCGATAAAAAACATGGCAGACGCTGACGACAGTCTCTCCAATAGTATGCAGTCATGTAAGGGACGAAATAGTCCTTCCAAATAAACTGAGGTTACATGCAATTGGCCTAGTCTGAATCAATCTGAAATATCATCACAAGATGATAGAGCAAAAATGGACCAATTAAATAGACTTGGTACGAAAATCAAGGATTAAAAATCTACACTCAGCCTGAAAGCATAAAAGCACTATACACTTGGAGACTACAAAAAGTACTTCATCCGCTCATCTCTTCTCATTGCATTATATACTGCTTGAACCTGCGAAGCCATCAAAACTTCATGTTCAATCATTGTGTCACTGGCATTCAATCGCTATATTACACTAGACTAAACCCAGCATTCTCCGAACACCAAACAAACATAAGGTCTCTTCTAGTCTAAGGCAAGGCAATCATATATGCCTAGGCAAAGTTGTGACCAACTGTGCTCTAAAGATAGCCGTTAAGCTTCATCTAAGTTTGTAAAAGCCCTCAAATTTGCTGAGGTTTCAATTACCAATGGTGAATTGGCGATCACATCCTCTCGAAGACACTGTGCTATTTGACCTGAATAGAATGCTTGTTACATACGCATGACTCACCCACTTAACTAATGGACCTCTTTTTTCAATCCATAAAATTGCAATATGGATTCACTGTTCTTAACACACTAAACTTTAGTAACGGCCGCAGTATGATAGCGGTATAATGCTGCCTGTTTTGCATAATTGAGGCTGCGCACCTTGTATGGGATCCTACTCAAACATCCATGCCTAATCTAATTTCACTTAGAAAAAGTTTCCCCCAAACACAGAGAGAGAGAGAGAGAGAGAGAGAGAGAGAGAGAGAGAGAGAGAGACCTGCTCGCTTGAAACAACATGAATAGGTCCTATATTTACAGACACATATTTGCCCCTTGATGAAGACTTTTGCCTCACACGGCCCTGTTGCAGAGCACAATTAGAGAAGATTTAGTTTATCATATTGAGTTATCATTTCTTGGGAAGATAAATTACATAATGCTTGAAAATGAACGATCAATCAATGACCAAACAGAGTTCAAAGTTACATCGATAATGCCGTCCCAACAGACCCAAGGCCTGGATTAAAAAGGGCAATATTAAAATCACAAAATTCTGGGGTTGATAACAAACAGCAACAGCATGCTTGATCTGCCATCGTGACTTTATATAGACTTAAGTAAACAAAATACTATTTGACCTCATGGAGTCCAAAACAACAGATGGAACCAGAGACGAATGAAGGGGGCCCAGGGTTCCGGGCCCCTCAAACATCAGCTGTATTGACAATTAAGTTTGTTATAAGCCAAAAGACTTTGGCCTCCAAAGATGGGCCGATGACCTTCAAGCGTAGTTCTAGTTTCATCTTTGAGCCTATTTAATTGTAGGTTGCTCTTTAATAAATCAAGAAGATGGCAAAAAACACATGCTTCTTTAAGATATGTTCACTGAATACTTAGCAAGAATAGAAGGATATGTTTAGTAATTGTAGATTGCTCTTAAGGACCCTACTTCGTCAGTATAATGGCAGCAGGCCCTACAGCATTTTGCAAGACTGAATTTCCTTTATAACCCACAATCATCGCAACAGAATAGCTTGTGCATATCTGCACTACACCAGATTACTGCATCATAAGTTCATCTGACCAGTGCATTTCCATTCCAATTATCTTTTATATGTCAAGTAAGTTTAATATGACATTCACAATCTACCTTATCTTGAGACTGATTGCTGAAATATCTCCAAAAACACTTGACCAGTAAAATGTATTGTGAATGCGACTCCCAAGCAACACAATCCTGTCACTCTCTTCCTTAAGCTAGATTATCCCCAGAAATAAATAAAGGTTGAACCCATATTCACATCCAAACAAGTACCGAGTTATTAATTTACTTCGCAGAGACACAACTGAGGGAGGAATAACATACACAAGACGAACGTCTTCATTGCAAGAGAGTTAACACTTGTGCTAAATCACATCAAGCTCGCTCATCATCATTAGTAGACATGATTATTTTTGTTTTATAAAACTATTCCAATACACCTACCAAGATTTTGCCATGTCAGTTTTTATTATTAGGGATAATTCCACTTTTTGTCCTACAACTTGTGCCAATTGTGCAATCAAGTCCTTCAACTTTTTTGTTCAATTGAGTCCTTTCATCTGTATGATCTGTGCAATTGAACCTTGTCAATGATTAACATACTTAATCATGATAACGCGGCAGCTAACAAGGCAACCACAAATACATAAAAAAAAGAAAATGGTGAAGAAGTTAATAATCAAAATAAAATCCAGAAAAAAAAATGAGATAAAAAAACTGTGAAAGAGAAAGAGGTGACAGCCAACACTGGCGACGGACGGCACCACCAACCCAGCTCAGCCCTGGCAAGCCCTCAACAAGGTCACGCAACTCAAGTGAGGGTTTCGCGCGGCTAAATCTCGCCTTGGACACGCTATAGCGGAGAGAGGGGGGCATGGATATTATCCAAAATCTATATTTGAGTCTCAAATTAGTAAATCTCTCCGGCGTATTCATTTTTCACTACATTCCTATATGCTCAATGGCCTCTGAAGCTACGAAGTACAGGTGACTCTCATAATCTCATTGCAGCCAAGAATCTCAAAAACTTGAAAGACAATTTGTTCTTCAAGTGAGGGTCTCGTGAGATTTGGCCACGTGATACCCTAGCTTGGGTTGTGTGACCTCTGAAAGGGGTTGCTGGGGTTGAGCAGGGGTGGTGGTGTGGACTTTCGCTGGTGGTGGCTGCACCGGCCACCTCCTTCCCTCCCTCAATCTCTTTCTCTCTCGGATTTTTTTCCTCAAATTCCTAAATTTTATTTTGATGTTCAAAATTCTCGATCCATTTTCTCTTTCTTTAAAAGTTTAAACGCGCCATGTCAGCAGCCACGTCAGCACGATTAAGTATTCTGTAGTGAAAAGACTTGATTGCACAAATCATACAATTCAAAGGACAGGATTGATTAGATCAAAAGTTAAATGACTTGATTGCACAATTGGCATAAGTTATAGGACCAATATCCCCTTATAATTTAACTAAAACTTGATCTGAATGGTCAGAAAGAAGATGCTCCCAAAAAATTGCATCATGCATCTAAATCCCATAAAGATATTAAAAACTTCCCCAGTTCAAACTACATGAAACTATAACTGAACTGTACAGAAAACTAAAATACTTATTCACAGCCGAACTGCCAAAATCCGATGCTTGTGTCAACTTTATCTCATCAACGTCGTTATCTCATTGCAAATTCCAAATCTTGGAAATAAGGAGTACCTTGGGAATTGGTTGTTGGATGACAGACTCAACAGCAACAATCATAGCTTGCACAAAATCATCACCACCAGTTCCAATGGCAGTAAACCCTCTAACTGTCGGGTAAGTGTTAACCTGTTAAGCAGGATGCTGCTATTAGCTTCATATCTGAATACATGCTCTTATAGCATCATACTTCTTCTTATGGTTAGGTATTTGCAGTTTCCACCATACAAGCAGTGTCCCAGTTGTTGTCAAGAATAAATCTTTGCTCTATAGAAGCTACGGATACAAAGAGTACCATCCTCACTCAATTGCCTCTAATGTCCTATGTGTGTGATCAGAAAAATACTTCAAACCGGTTCATAATCTGCCAAAAAATTTAATAGTTCAATATTCACATGCGATTATCTATAATTCACTGGGATAGATTAATTCCGACACAGCAGTATGGACTGCTCTGGAAAACTAAAGATGCCAAAAAAGACCATAGCTATCTACATTCAACAGTTAAATTGGTGGAAATGAGGGTCATTACCTTCTTATCCAAAGCAAGCCATTCGTTGGTCGAATCATCACTTACTGTACCGCCAATAACCACATTTGTTGTTTGCCCTACTCTCCCTTCCGCCTTTGAAACCTCTGAAAGTAAATGCTGCAACTATTAGAAAATTCTACGATCACGCAGAAAAGTGTAGACCTCTGAATTTTCATGATAGCATATTAAACAAGTATGCCGCCCCTCATCCAATTCTTGTTCTCCATTTAGCATATAGCATAGTTACACATGACTACGTCTTTCTAATCAGGAAACCCGACAATGAGAATGCAAATGTTGACTGCTGAGCAGAAAACACTGATGATCGATGCCAGTGCCACTCCCAAATTCCCAATCCTTCTACAACGACAGAAAATTCTAGAAGCCGATGAGATAAATAATTCCTACAGATTACATCAAAGACCGAGCTTTCCCACGAAAACCGGAGCCAGAAGCTAAACCGCAACTTCCTACGCAATCTGCAATCTCACCATCCCCAACAACCCTAACGGACGAGAGACGGACCTGAGATGGCCTTGAGAACGGCTTCCTGAGGCGGACCTTGCTCTTCTTGATCGTACTCCTCCGAGTTCTCGGGCGGGGACCAGGAACCGTTACCGGTGGAGCAATTCAGCTCACGGCCTCGCCTCGCGGCGTGGGAATCCGGAGCCCAGGGAGGCCTGTGGCCGCAGCCCAGCCTGCGCGGTGGCGGAGGGGGCGACGAGGCGGCGCTCGCCAGGGAGAGGGAGAGGGAGAAGGAGGCGGGCGTCGCGAGCGAAGGCTTCCACGGCTCCGTCAGGAGCGCGCAGCGGAGGGCGGTCCTGCACGCCATCATCTCGTGCGATTCTGTCTCGGGCTTCTTCTTCGATTCTTCCTGGCTTCTGGGTTTTCGGGCGAGCGTCCGTGCGTGCGTGCGTGCGTGCGTGAGTGCAGAACTCTTGGCCTGAAAACGTTTCGGGAAGGAGGAGGAGATTTTTCTCTGCTTCGGCTTTCCGGTCAGGGACGCCTCGAACCCCGGAGCTCGGGCGCCAGCTGCGAAATTTACGCGGACGATTATACCCTTTTGCTAGACCCGTCAACATAGTGGGTCGGGTCTCAAGTCGAAAATGGGCCAACCCAAATTGAATGATTTCACCCGGTTTGGTCCATTTCCATGCAATATAACCATAATCACTCGTACCGGTCCGACTCATATTGTTAATACACCTCCATATTTAACTCAGTTTTAAAAAACTCATGCCCAACTAAGGTGAGAGCGAAAAGTGAGCAAGCACGAAAAAGAATCACAGAGGTGGATTGGGTTAAGTCTAAATAAATTGTGAATCCATTTAGCACTGATAATATTTTGGGTTTTACCATTCTAAATACATTTATGACCCTTTTACCGAATATAACTAACTCATGTATCAACTCAGGTCATTAAATATTGGTTAAGAAATACGTTTATGACCCATTTCGACAAGTATACCTTTAACTAATTGCTTTGCTTTTTTTTTAACCCTCTCTGTAGTTCTTATTAAGTAACAAAAATTCATCGATACAAATTAAAACTCAAACCTAATTTTGTTCCCAGAGTTTGGTCCTGTTAATAAGCATGTTACTTAAAAACATATTCATTTTCTATTTTCAAAATATTAAATTTAAAAAGTTACTTTAGAACGTTTCTAATAAAATCTTTATTTTTACAGTCACTTGAGAAAGATAATTCTCAAGGGACACGTGCGATCTTACATACATCATTCATTCATTACAATTTAATCTTCAAGGAAGGTAGATGATGAGTGGTGACTAGCTTACGTTAAGGATGGCAACGTGAGACGCGCATTCAATTTTTTACAAGTTGAATTTGCTGAACCGACATAAACCAAGGGTCATTTAAAATGTCAATTTGGTTAGGATAAATCAAGAGATAAATGTATTGGAAATCGTAAAACTTGTCACTTAAATGCAATTGAATCCTATATCAAGTCATGAAACTTGTCAAGTTTGTGCAATCAAGTCCTTCCATTAACTCCATCAAACTTAATAAACAAAAAATGTTAACAAGTTGACTTGACAAGTTATAAGATTTAATTGCACTTTTTTATAGTTTCAAGACTCAATTGCATTTTTGTAACAAGTTGTGGAACTTGATTATACTTTTTAAAAGTTTTAGAACTCAATTGCGCGTTCGTGACAAATTTTAGGATTTTCAGTGTACTTATCCCGATATGTCAAAACGAATCAAGCTAAATAAGTTATATAGTGCACCATTGAACATACTATATATATGTTTTATTCGATGCAACCGATAAAATTGAAAATTTTAAAGAGCACACTAATGCATGCTGTGGTTTTGTCTAATGAGACCTAATATTGTAAGGAAAGAGAAAACACACACAAAAAAGGAAGAAGAAGATAATGTGGAGAGTGGGATTTGAACCCACGCCCTTTCGGACCAGAACCTTAATCTGGCGCCTTAGACCAACTCGGCCATCTCCACATTGGTGCTCCTAATTTCCTTAAAAATAATTTTATAGATATAATTAGTTCCTCAACTTCCGTAACGGAACAGCACTCTTACGGCCTTCACCTTTGCAATACGTCCACGGCACCGAGACGTGTCGGAATAGGATCATTTTGAGGTTGTCTTCTACTTCATGTGCAGTCTATTGTGCTTTGGCTTCTATTGCATTCTTATATCTCCTCCTTAAAGTAATTAATTTTCTTCGAGATATCCTGAATTTTGACGCAACTAGTTCCTACAATCTTTGACTCGATCAATCCATACGATTGACCGGAGAAAGACCGGAGATCCACCGAGTGTTCATCGTGACTTTTATGATTGCTCGGAATGAGAGGTCGTGCAATTCAGAAAGATTTACAGCGTACTATAACTCAGTAAAGTAAGAGATTGACAAATAATGTCTCCAAAGAATCAAACTACTAATTAATAGCTGAGTCCCATGGAGTTCAAGCGGGACTTAAAGTGAGACGTTTTGCGATTTGAAGTTGTGCCTCTCATCAATCTTTTGATACTAATGACGTCTTATTAACGATATAAATTTAACATGATATTTTAAATGTGTACACAAAAAAATGCACAACTATTTGCTGCGGTGATAAATTCAACACGTCTTTTTTATCATACAAAAAAATAATTATCCAGCCAAAATGACGTCGTTTTTATTTCACTTAAATCACGTGGACGCAATATCAGTATTATTTGCCTTCCGTCGTTTATGTAAACAGATTTTTAACAGTACTAATTAATGAAACCTTGATGGAGGGTAAATGTGTCACGCACGTACAAATTCGAGATTATTTGTATCAGCGACAAAAATTCAGGATAAATGTGTCGCAGTAAAGTATAGTTTCGGGCGTGCGTTTTTTTTTTTTTCTTAAACTTTTCCCTAGAAATTATGGGCGGGGGAAAAACCTTGCAAAATATCTACAAAATTCGAGTCATCCGTGGCCGGGTGATTTAGGCCCGACATGTCCGGGCTTTCCAAATCCTTTTATCCTCCTCCCTAAATCCTGTGACCTTATCCGCACCGAAACTCATAATAAAAAAAAAAAAAAAGACGTAAAAAAAACACAGCTTTGATTTTTCCTCTTTCCCCGGCCAAAATAAAAGGCGTGGAAGTCATGGGCAGGATCAAGACATCATCAGCTCCCTCCCCGACAAAACATAAATTCATTCAGGCGAAAAGGATATTGCAGCGAAACCTCCCCCCCCCCCCCCCACCACCTCCATGTGGACCGTCCGCCGGCGCTCCTCGCGACGCGATCCTGGCCGTCGACGAGAGCCGCTCGCTTTGACCACCCGTTGCCCAAGAAGCTCACTTGGCCATGCGGGCCGCACGAAAATACAACGCGGGCGGCTGTAAATCTAGAGGAGAATCTCGAGAGGTCCAGCGCTTCGCAAAGCGAAAACACGGATACGTGTGCGATCTCGCAACCACTTTTAATTCATATGACCAAAAAAAAAAACCGCTTTTATATTTTCTCCCCCCTATATATTAAAAAAATTAGACCCCGAAATTTTATTTTATTATCCGAGCAGCCACCCGGAGAAGGCAAAAGAAAATCTCTGTGCTTCCTCTTCCGATTCTCACCAGCCACCACCAACGCCGCCGTCCGGAGAATTCCGCCGGCGAAATGGGTCCGATCGTGCTGACTCAGCTGGCGACGGGCCTGAGCGTGCTGGCCGGGGCGGTCCTCGTCAAGTCGGTCATGGACCAGAAGCCCATGGCCGGCCAGTTCCCGCGGTGCCCGAGCTGCAACGGCACGGGCCGGGTCGCGTGCATGTGCTCCCGGTGGTCGGACGGCGACGTCGGGTGCCGGACCTGCGCCGGGTCCGGCCGGATGGCGTGCAGCAGCTGCGGAGGGACGGGCACGGGCCGGCCCTTGCCGGTCCAGCTCTCGGTGAGGCGTCCTCCTCCTGCTCCTCCGTCTTAAGTGGGCCGGGGGCGGGGGCGGCTTCTGTGTAACTTTTATGTTTCCGGTCATTATATAGTAGTTCTCAGAGCAACCCTCGTCTCTGATACATTCGTTTTTTTCTCTCTCGCTTTCCTTTAGGGGATTAAGTTATGTAATATAAATTGGGAAGATACTTGGATGAAGGAGGTGGGGTATGCTATTAGGATGTAATCAGATGCGAATACTGCAAATTCAGATTCTTGTATGATGATGATGATGGTATAATCTTAGTAACTAGCTAGGATTTTCTTAAACAGAGGCTCCTAACATACAGTGACCACTGTTTTCCTCATAGTTTCGGATAAATGTTGTCAATATTGTGTAGCTCTCTACCTTTGAATGAATGCATCAGTGCTTAAAGAATGAAAGGCAAAACTACGTGCGCGGAAGCTCTTCCTGTGATTCAAACTGACGGTGCTTGTGGGATTCATTAGGGAAGAAAGGAAAGAACAAAACGTTAATGGTGCGGCCTGATGTAGTATTTCCAGAACCAGCGACAAAACAAGATGTTCTGTCCAATTTGTCCAACTTTTCCCAGTCCCCTGGTTAAGGCTCAGTGGATGCTGCATTGCGCTGGATAAGGTCTTGCTCCTGGCAGTTCTGCTTCTCGGGCAAGAGCTCTAACATGCACTGTCCTAACATGTATCTAATCGCGCGCACCTGTTAAGTAAATGTGGCTCTATATCATGTGCCGTGAGTCTAATTGAGGGAATCGTGGGCATAGGAGATGCCCATAAGTCGGATTTGTTGCGCTAATTCACCTCACGTAACCGGTACGTACGTTGCACGAAGTGATAAGCAAAACAAGTGCAGCAAAATAAAGAGGAGATCACAAATTTACGTGGTTTGACAGATAAGTCTGTCTACATCCACGGTGCAAGCACATGGAACTCACTTGTATAACAGGAGAAATTACAATGCACACCCCTCAACCCGACAAACACCAAACAGTGGGTCGCACTCTCAACCGTAAATCTTTTCTCAGTACAACTCTCACAATCACAGAGATACTGCACACCCAAGATTCCCTTACAAGAGATAATCCAGACCCCCAAGTTCTATTTCACCCAGAACGTAGAGAAAAAAACAGAGGAATAACCCAAAGCACATTAACTCTTAACTGTTCCCTCCTTGTCTCTCTGTCCTTCACACGTTCCCACAGAAGTAGAGGGGTGGTTGTACGCACTAAAGTAGTGGAAGAGTGGCATCGACAGTTACTCCCTATTTTTTAGGTGTCACATTCTCCCACTTGAAGACTATTCTCGAATAGGCTTCACAGCTCCGATTTGCCCAACCATCACCAATCAAGTGATAACTACAAGCCCAAGAGAAGTTCTGCACCATAAAAACTTCTCTCTCGCAATAGGCTTCGTCAGCACATCTGATACGTTGTCGTTGGTGTGAATTTTCTGCAAAGAGATAACTCCATCTTCCACTACATCACGAATAAAATGGTACCTGACATCAATGTGTTTCGTACGAGAGTGAAACATTGGATTAACGGCCAAATGTAATGCACTCTGACTATCACAATGAATAGTGATGACTTTCTGTTTGATTCTTAGCTCATCAAGCAATCTCTTCAACCAAATGCCTTCTTTACAAGCATCTGTTGCTGCGATGTATTCAGCCTCTGTAGTAGATAATGCCACCACAGATTGTAACTTAGACATCCAACTAATTGCTCCACTAGCTAAAGAGAAACAGTACCCAGTGGTAGATCTTCGTCTATCACGATCTCCTGCAAAATCTGCATCCACAAATCCAACCAACTGTAAATTTTGGCTACTATAATGAATAGCCATATCAGAGGTACCCTTCAAGTACCGAAGGATCCATTTCACCACAGTCCAATGATCTCGACCCGGGTTTGCCATGTACTTGCTGACTGCTCCCACTGCTTGCGCAATGTCTGGTCTGGTGCAGACCATGGCAAACATAAGACTCCCTACTGCCGACGCATACGGTACTCGAGCCATCTCTGTCTTCTCTGCTTCTGTGCTAGGACTCTGTTCAGAAGACAGTTTACAACTAATAAGAAGTGGGGTATTAACTGGTTTGGCGTTCTGCATATTGAAGCGCCGCAGAACCTTTTCCACATAGCTCTTTTGAGTTATCCAGATCTTCCTATTTTCACAATCTCTGAGTGCGGTCATCCCAAGAATTCGGTTTACGGCTCCCAGATCTTTCATATCGAATTCCCTAGCCAAACGAGCTTTGAGGTATGCAATACCTTCTTTCGAAGTACCCACAACTATCATGTCGTCAACATACAACAACAAGATTATAAAGCCACCATTACCATGATTGCGAACATAGGCACAATGGTCTGCTTCACATCTTTTGAACCCCAAACTCATAATGAAAGAATCAAATCGCTTGTACCAGCATCTTGGCGCCTGCTTCAAGCCATAAAGCGATTTGTTCAGTCGACAAACCAAACTCTTCTTGTTCTCTTCAATAAAGCCTTCAGGTTGAGTCATAAAAATTTCTTCATCAAGATTTCCATGCAAAAAGGCTGTTTTTACATCCAACTGCTCAAGCTCTAAGTCAAGCACAGCTGCCACACTCAACACAGTACGAATAGTAGTTAGACGAACAACTGGAGAAAAAATTTCATTAAAATCGATACCTGATTTCTGAGCATAACCTTTCACCACTAAACGAGATTTATATCGTTCAATATTTCCGTTATTGTCTCTTTTCAACTTGTAGACCCACTTGGAACCGATAGCCTTTCGTCCTTCAGGTAACTTGACAAGATCCCAGGTTTTGTTTTTGTGTAAAGCCTCCATTTCCTCCTCCATAGATGCCCTCCATTGAGGAGCATTACTGGACTCACAAGCTTCTTGATATGTACAAGGCTCTCCCTCTTCAGTTATGCAAGCGAAAGTTGTCACATAATCATTTAGCCAAACTGGAGGTCTAGTAGTCCTCCTATGAGGTCCTTGGTCACCCTGAGTTTCACTACCAGTTCTGTCTGTATGCTCTCTATCAGCTTCATCTCCACTAGCTTCATCAGTATCAGTCAAATGTTCTTCAAATTGATTTTGAACTTCTTTTGATGATTCAAGTTCAAATATTTGTGACAAGTCAGCATTTGGCGTTTCTTTGTCTTTTTGCAACGAATCTTCATTGAAGACGACATCTCGGCTGATAACGACTTTGTGGGTAGTAGGATCCCACAATCTGTACCCCTTTACACCTTCTGCATAGCCAAGAAAAATACACTTTCTGGACCTCGCTTCAAGCTTTGTCCTTTGCTCTTTAGGAACCCACATATAAGTATCACAACCAAAAGTACGGAGGAAAGAATAGTCAACAGTTTTTCCAGACCATACCTCTTCTGGAATCTGTCCATTAAGAGCAGTTGTTGGGGAACGATTCACTATGTAACATGCCGTACATACAGCTTCATTCAAAAACTCGCTTCATACTACCAAGACACAACATACTTTGAGTACGATCCATTAGCGTACGATTCATACGCTCGGCCACTCCATTTTGTTGTGGAGTTCTGGGGACCGTGAAATGTCTTTGAATGCCATGCTCGTTGCAAAATCTAAGAACTCTTGCAGCATATATTCTCCTCCATTATCGGTTCTGAAACACCTTATTTTTGTTCCTTTCTGATTTTCTACCAAAGCTTTAAATTTCTTGAAAGAAGCAAAAGCATCACTTTTCCTTTTAAGGATGTAAACCCAAACTTTTCTGGAAAAATCATCGATAAATGAAATAAAGTACTTGGCACCACCCAAAGACTCATCAGGAGACTCCCAAATGTCAAAATGTATCAAGTCTAAAATATTCTGACTTCTTACTGTGGAACGACGAAAGGGAGTTCTATGAAACTTTCCAAACTGGCAATCTTCACAAAATTCTAAATTAATAGTCTTTAAACCAGGAAGAAGACCGTGATCAAGAAGTACCTTCAGTCCTTGCATGCTCATGTGTCCCAAACGCCTGTGCCAGATAGTTGTCGACTCTGTCACAGCATTTGCAACTATGGCTTCACTGACTATGGTCTCTCCAATTAGCCTGTATAAACCGCCTATTAATTCTCCTTTCGCCACGATAAGTGCTCCTTTGACGATCTTAGCTCGTCCCTTTTCCAGAATAATTTTATAGCCATTTTCATCAAACTTTCCCAGCGACAGTAGACTTTTCCGCATATCTGGTACATGCCGTACACCAGATATTGTACGCGTGATGCCATCAAGCATGGTAACACGAACATCTCCAATCCCCATGATTTGACATGAGTTATCATTACCCATGTATACCGTACCTCCATCACATAACTAATACGTATGGAACCAGTCTCTATGTGGTGTCATATGGAAAGAAGCGCCCGAATCCAAAATCCATTGATGTTGCACGCTCTTTATTGGAACTGCAGTCATCACCTCGCCATCTTCAGGTAAGTCTGCATTTTCAACGATGTTTCCTTGGGAATTTGTTGATGTTGATGCATTTTGGGAATCAGATTTGCGATTTTGTTGATTCTCCTTGGATTTACAATCTTTACGCATGTGACCCTTTTGTCCACATTTCCAACAAGGACCCAAAGTTCGCCTCTTTGACATGGACCTTGACTTCTTTCTCCCACTGAAACCTTTGTCCATGGATCTTCCTCTGGCCATCATAGCATTACCAGAAGTGCTCTCGAGAGTTTTTCTACGAGACTCTTCCGTCAGCAACGTAGCTATAGTTGAATCCATGTCAAGATCCACTCCAGTACTGAGACTCATGATCAAGGAATCCCATGTATTAGGCATAGAACATAGAAGAAGTGTTACCTTCTCGTCGTCCTCGATTTTGACGCCGATGGAAATCAATTTGCTCAATAGGGTGTTGAACCTGTTCAGGTGCTCTTGGAAAGAGGAGCCTTCCTTCATCTTTAAACTGTATAATTGCCGACGAAGAAAAATTTTGTTTGACATTGTTTTCCCTTCGTAGAGATTCTTCAATTTCTCCCATAAGCCTTTGGCGGTGGTTTCTTCAGAGACATTGAAGAGGACAGAATCATCTAACGCCAGAAGTAGATCCGCCATTGCCATTTGATCTTTCTGTGCAAAATCCTCATCTTTCATCTCTGTCGGCTTTTCGTCTTTACTGGCAAGAGCAACTGCACAACCATCTTTCACCAGCACCGCTTGCATTTTCAGCTTCCACAATGGATAGTTGGATCCGTTGAATTTTGGCACCTCGAACTTTGTAGAAGTTGATGCAGCCATCGCACAAAGCTGAAACACGTACGTTGACGTCGATCACGTGCAGCACAGGCTTCTCGAACCGTCGGCTCTGATACCAATTGTTGCGCTAATTCACCTCACGTAACCGGTACGTACGTTGCACGAAGTGATAAGCAAAACAAGTGCAGCAAAATAAAGAGGAGATCACAAATTTACGTGGTTCGACAGATAAGTCTGTCTACATCCATGGGGCAAGCACACGGAACTCACTTGTATAACAGGAGAAATTACAATGCACACCCCTCAACCCGACAAACACCAAACAGTGGGTCGCACTCTCAACCGTGAATCTTTTCTCAATACAACTCTCACGATCACAGAGATACTGCACACCCAAGATTCCCTTACAAGAGATAACCCAGACCCCCAAGTTCTATTTCACCCAGAACGTAGAGAAAAAAACAGAGGAATAACCCAAAGTACATTAACTCTTAACTGTTCCCTCCTTGTCTCTCTCTCCTTCACACGTTCCCACAGAAGTAGAGGGGTGGTTGTACGCACTAAAGTAGTGGAGGAGTGGCATTGACAGTTACTCCCTATTTTTTAGGTGTCACAGGATTCTTGTAATAACCCATCGTGCGAGTGTGAGGCAGTGCCGGTTTGGGGCCTCTAGCAGCAGCCGTGGAATGAATGGTTGCTCTGAGCGAGAGGTATGGATGGACGTTACGGTTGGAAAATGCGGGAGGATGATGGGTTCAAAGTTGTGGCGGCAACGGCGGCGGACCAGTGAATCTATGTTTTGATTTATCAAATAGGAAATGTACACACTATCAAAATGGGAGCCACGCGGAGTGGAAGTGCCTTTTCTTTGAAGAAAGCCATTCACATTGCTTGTGAACAAATATATGATAGTTTTAGGCCATCCAGGCTGTACTGAGCTTAAGAGAGAGAGAGTTCTGAACCGGGGAAGTGGGAACGAAGAGCTTCTTGGGTAACCCAATGTCGGGAAGAGACAGACAATAATTCACTGAGAACTTTAATTTGTCCGGGATCGATATCTTCACATAACTCAAATGACTAATGTCAAATCGACTTCAGCAGCAACCGGTTACAATTTTGCAATAACATGAATCCCAAACCAGTTTATATAGTCTTGAAAATTAAAAACGAAGCAGAAAAACCTGTCAAAAAACTTACGCTAATCACCAAGATTAGCAGGACACAGAATAGTTCATCTCTAGTCACACACAATTAGAGGTTCAACACATCACCAATACAACAATATATCATCACCACAAAGGTGAATTAACAAAAGGAGCAATAAAATTCTAACCACTACACAAGAAATTGAGAGAGAATTTGGAGAAGGATTTCAACGAACAAGACCGATCAACTTGTAAATCATGATCTCACGAACGACATACTAAAATTTCAGCCAATTCCAACGAAGTTTCACCTCGAATTTGGATTGCCTCTTCTCCTCTGAAGTGTCGCCCAATGCCTCTCTTTTTTTTGTGCGAACGCTCCTTTTTCTCTCTTCACTATATTAAGAACGTTCACCTCCTCTTAATATTTCCTTTTTTGACTTTTCTTCTTCTGTTTTTTATAAGATGTGCTGAGCTCAAGAGGCGGACCTAGCCCTTTAAATATGATTAAAACTCCCCAATTTCATCTTCCGAAAAAAGACCGCGCTTACTCACATGTGACGATGGCCCTTGCCATGAGCGTTGTCGGATCAAGTCTTCGGCCAACTTTTCGGATTCCCTATCAGTGCTCATATGAAAAATGGAGCTCAAGGAAGTTTAGATACACATTAATAGCTGAGGTGCTCTAATATGTAGATTTTCTTCTAACGGGTTAAAACATTTCAATCTTGTGGTAACTTATTAATCTGAAGGTGTGTTGGGAATCACTTCAGAAGTCTTTTTTGATCTACATTTATTTGACACGGCATTTAGCATGTTATAGATGTGGCTTGCTAGGTCGATCATAATTTCACCCATAAACTAGTGATTGATAAATTTGATGAAACGGGTTGTATAACAAATTAATTTTTGTCACATAAACATGGGTGACTTGTCCCAGTGGAACATGTTAACCCAATTTGCTTTTTTGTATGGTTTATGAAATGCTCGTTCAAATGCGAGCTTCTTCATTTTACTATAGAGAAAAGTGTACCACCATGCATAGAGAGTTTTCGCTACCATTTAATCATCAATGTCAAGGCCTAACTTCATCAAAGAGGTATTTGTACATTGCACAACCATTCTATAGACTAGAGAAGGAGAGCCAATACAAGTTCTCTTTCCCAATTACACAATCTTCCTTCACATAATCACACCTCTCTCACCCTCATTCCTTTGCAAAAGGATTTCCAATTCATCCTCGATTCGTTCTCTCTCGAATTCTTCCTCACTTGGGTGTGAAAGCCTGCAATAACCCACCACAAGAATTGTCAAAACATGTACCGTCTTTTTTTTCTAGCAAAGGTCTTATAAAACGAGCAGTCTAAGTATAGATGTGGGTGTAGCTGAGCTTACAGCAAAAACTGTAGCATGACCCGGATCAGCGAGGTGAGCGAAGAGGTTATCAATCGGGCCGGTGCCGGTGTAGATGTGTTGGAACCAAGCGCCCATAACAGCCAACATGGCCAGCCTCCCATTCTTGATCTCCTTGGTCCTCAACTCCCTGACCTTCTCGGGCGACCCGGACCCCCACCCGAGCGGGTCAAACCAGAGCCCACCGGGGTACCCGACATCGGTGCCAGTGAGCTTGTTGTCGGGGAAGATGGGATCGGTGTTGACGCACCCGGGCTTGATGATGTCGGCCCATCTCCTGCCCTCAGCCCAGCCGATGAAAATGAGCTCAATGATGAAGAGGGTGGTGGTGTCGGTGAAGTACTCTAGCTCCCCGGCGGTGTACCAAGAAGGAGTGTTGAGGATGCCAAGCTTCGTGAGCAACTCGGGAATGAAAATGCCGGCGGCTCCTAGCATTGCCCATCTGCAGTGGACCAGCTCCGCTTGTTGGTTCCATCTCAAGCTCTCAGGATCAGACGCTGTCATCATCAGATCCGTTTAGACATGATTCTCTTTGTTAAAATCGGGAAATTTTCATGAGGTTAGTATAAAGGTTACTGAGTAATTAAGTTTATGGACAACCTAGTAGTGTTCAAAACCCAATTATGGAAGCACTTGATCCTACTAAAGTTCCAATAATTGCTTAAGCTGCCTAATTTTTCTTAAGGATCTCTACTACATGCACTGTCAATGGAAAATTTTGGTTTCATTATAAGATAGTCAATTAGATCCAAACATGAATGCATGCCTTTAGATTGACACTCTCCTATGACTTACCGAGACCAAGAGGATCGAAGCCGAAGTCTCCCGGGAGGCTGCCCAGAGAGTGATTCAAAGCAGCAAATCAGACTTCTTGTTAAAAAGCAGGTTGTAAACACAACAGAGAAGAGACAATAGAACATGGCCATAAATTAAGCACAATCGAGGAGCGAACCTGCCGTCGAGCCACGGAGGAGGAGTGCTTCCTGGGAACCAGATAGGTCTATCGGGATCAGCTGCTGCGCAAACGGTGGCCAATCTTCCTGCAGCCGCAGCCGGTGCGGTGTACTTTCTCACGCTCAACTTCTTGCCGGTCAGGAATGAAGAAGATCCATTCTTTTGGCCACTGAATTATGCGCAACGATCATTATTAGGGACTCCAAAGATAAAAATAGAGATTTTCAGCATTCCTAAGACTAGGTGCACCAAGCAAATCGCTCTATCTTTGAGATCTAAGCCAATCCCACCTGGCCTTCTACGATGTTCATTGCCTTGTGATTATACAGATATACACATCATGATGAACATATATTATAACATGATCTTATGAGATTCCAGGCCGAGTGAAGAAGAGCTTGCCTCGGAGAGGAGATGGCCACAGCAGCAATGGCTGAGGAAGCGCACACCGAAGCCATTCTCGTGATTGATTCGTGAGAGGTGGAGGAGGGAATTGAGGCGTCGTGTGTGAAAATCCGAGGACATAGAAACCAAGTTAATGTATGCATGGGCTTATCTTAAAGGATAGGAGGGGCGGCCTCCGATTGGCTGTTCCATTGCCACGTGGGCCCGCAGGATCTGTAATGAGTCCCTCCGCCTGCCACGTGGAGACCGTCGAGTGATTCCTCCGGTGGATATCTGGAGTGAGTGGCTCACGTTGGCGGATCGCGTGGCCAATGAGGATGTCCCCTGACCCACGTCGGATATATTGGCTTTTAGTTGATGAGTTTGCAGTGAAATAATATAAGGAGCAAAAGAAGAATAAAATAAAAAAAAACAGAGTTTTGTTAGCATAATAATTTTGGGCCATTATGAAATTAACAGTTTATTGTGAGTCGCAAATTCTTGAAAGAATGAACCCCACAACAATTTATAATTGTTTGCTATTTATTTTTTTGTGGCCCGAAATATACTGTTGATCTCACAGTGAATTAAGGGCAATCATTTAATCATTTCTTAAGAAAGAATTACGATGCACTTGCTTGTAGCTTGGCTAGAACTAGAAGTACACGAAAATTTCTTGTAGAATGTTGTGAAGACAGCTATATTCCCGGTGGTTTAATTAATTTCAGCTAGGAAGGAAATGTGGCATCGCGATTTTGATGGGATAAATTGAAAGGTCACGCTAGATATCAAACAAGTGTGCGTCAGGGAGCTCGGCTGGATACAAAACGTCGAGAGAAAATAAAGGAAAGCGAAAATAAAGATTGAATTAGTTGAAATGGTTTGCCCTAGTTTCCATTGATATCCATGCCAAACGACGCATCAAGCATTAGATGATCTTTATGACGCGTGTATTCCTATCTTCAATGCTCATCCCTGTTATGACCATACGCGCAGCCAGAGTCAAAAGTCGGTAACAAAGACGAAGCGATAACTTTCTGAACAAGAGTTTAGAGCAGTGGTTTCTCAAATCCTAGTGAATGCATAGGACTGATGGAGTAATTTCTAGATAGTGGCAGGACGAGGGGACTGTCGTCACTCAATGAGATTGGTAGGACGCTTTGAGCGAGCGACCGAGACATTGGACATTGGGCTGCTTCTTCACTTCATCCCAGGGCCATAGTCATGAAATTAGCCCAGAGAAATGGTTGGGCCCTTTTTGAACTGGGTTGGGGACTCGGACAACTTCTTGTTGGGCCATCGGACTCCGAGGACGGCGATGCTCACGTAATTGCCCTTGGTAGAGTTAGTCATACGGTTCCCTCGCACAAACAGCAATGTCTTCGTTGAGACTCAAACCGGGAGTTTCAGCCAAAAATCAGGAGAAAAAGAGAACTACCGACGCTTCGATAGATCTTCCGATGACCTCTGGCTCGTAAAAAGCGTAGAGAGATGAGGAGTCCAAGCCGCGGAGTGACATTTGGGTTACCGAGCGCATGTCGTGTAACTAATTCAAGCGCTACACGACCGCTTCTTAATCATTAAACCAAAACCTATCGACACGTTTTCATTTATGAAAAGCATGTAGGTGGCACCGACTACAATAGAACTGAATCTCATTCAAAAAAAGGACGATCCCTTTCGCCTTGGCCTCTTTGACAGTCATTGAATTCACTGAGAGCTTGGTCCAGCCGAACGACAATAATTCCACGTCGTCGTCCTTATCTTCATGCAAGGGTCCAGGAAATCATCACCGAGAGAAGCCATTGCTTTCGAGTGGATAAAGATGAGACCCACCACCACCATCTCTCTCTCGATCGACCTAACAAGCAATCCAAGACATATATGATAGATCCTTACCAGGTGTGTAGTAGGAGAGTTAATCATTTCTCACTCTTTTACTTTTGCGAAAGCACCGATCCATAGGAGATTGAGTTTGGCAAGTTTGCATTGCTGTCGGACTTTATCTTGAATCTAAAGCCCAAGTGTTCCCTCTCGATCCTCACAGCACCATGCCCACCTAAAGCTCCAACACGAGCTTTTCAAGCTGATTGCAAAATGCTGGTTAACACTGTATGCTCAATATAATGATCAATATAGTTTCTTTTTCTAAACCGCAATGATCGATATAGTTGTCAGCGGGAGTCTGGCGACAACACTTTCCTAAGGCAAATTCATTAGAAGATAATAGTAACGACTTTCTCCATGTATGATGATTTAAATGCCCTTTTCTTATCATGTAATGAAGAGAGAGATATGCCAGCAATCTCCCTTTTCTACCTGAGCTCCACATAAATGGATAATTTGAGCCTGTTGGGTCCCTAAAGAATGCATTAGGCATCATTTCATGCAAGGAACTCAAAGTGGTCCAAGTGACATCCATCGAGTATCGGGCATTGGAATTAGTGTCAAAACTGAATTTGCACTGTGGAGCCGATAGTATTAGATGCTGTATTTATACGTACTACCAGCAATTGAAAGACTGTCAAAAACCTAACGTAAGACTAGCATCAGAGGAGCTACGAATGTGAGGAATGATTGTGAATCGCAATGATGCTACTGCACATTTATAACCCCTTTTTCAAAAAGCTTCCCTCATTTTCAACTTCCTCTAGTCTCATTCCTCTCTTTGCTTAGTCAACAAGTGAAGACCAAGAATCGGCATCATTGCCTAGTGCTCGGCCTGCTTTGTCGGGTTAAAGTAACAAACAAGCGCATTGAATCTGAAAAGCACCATGCACAATTCCGCATTATTTATCCATGTGTCTGTCGATTAACTAGATCGCAAGCTTTTACTCGCAAACATAACCAGCACAATGATCGCGTCTGTCGTCACTAATCACCGCGCAGTGCTCACCGGAACGATTTCACGTGCTTTTTGGCCCTCGTGTGTCAGCCTAAAGGGGTTTCGTTCGCATGAATGTGTCGGAGTGAATCTTAGACTTCTTAGTGGTTTGATAGAATCTCCATTATGTGACCGAGTGATACCAGTGTTCAGCAGTCCTGAACATGGAAGCAGGAAAAGGGACTTTGTTCTTGGACTTTTGAGGACGGAGACTGTCGGTCAGCAATTCATCTCTTCTAGGACATCACGATGATCTTATCCTGACGATTGCAGTATTATAGAGAACAAGAAGAGAGACAATTAGGCCCAAGACCTACCTGGGCCAAATCAGTGTTGTGAACTTGCAATAACCTAAATGTCCATTGACAAGGCCTTGAGAAGTGAACATTCACAAGGATGGCACCAGATACTTAACCTGGATTTTTAAACTTGCCCAATAGTAAATGTCAGTAATTTCTCCTTATATACCATAGAAATATGCACGAGCGTATTTAATCGATGATGGTGATATCACATGTTCCATTGACGTGATATCACCGGATCAATCACATCTCTTCAAATTTCAAAAATTTAAAAAGTTAGTGGTTATCAAGTTAGCTACATGAGGAAGTGTAATTGGCAGACTGGTGTTACATCAGCAAGACAAGTGGTGTTACCATGACATAAGTTACTTTCCCCCAAATAACGACTTGAAGGGTTGATTTTGACCAGTTATAGAGGCCGCATTATTGAAACTTTGTGAAACCTTTGCGTGAACATGTGAATCACTATTTTGCTCTATTCGAACAGTTAAAACGAGAGGTATTGACAACTTATTGTATCTTCGATTTTGGTAGCAAATGCAAGTGTAATTATTTACTATGGATGTACTTCTTTTTCTCTCTTCCGTACGTATGTCACATCGACCGAATTATGTAATTCTTTACATACACCACACAAGCGTCTTTCGTCCTCTCACTCATCAATCATCCATGAGTGGATGTCACCTTGCAAATTGCATTTTAGGTTCTTTCCGATGCTCATGTCTCGTAAAGTTTCAAGCAAGATAATTACTTCGGCCTCCTTTTACTTAAACATAGAAAGCGTGAGCCATTGAACTAACTTAACTTGTAAGTTATAATTATCAACACAACACATGGGTAATGCTCCAGAAATCTGCAGCCCACTTGCCCTCGAACTTGAACCCTCCTGTGTAAAAAGCAAAACGATCGGACGCCGCCTTGACGTTAAAACATAGTTTTCTGCAAACCATGTGATGATGATGATGATGGCGGTGGATGTCCATTGCTTACTACTACCCACCACCTAAATTTTGACTCTTTCAACTGCTCCAAGTTGTAGATGTATCAGCATGTCAGTCGTTTTTGAAGCGAGCCCTCGTCATCATTGCATGCTCGGTTGCATCTTTCAATCCCGTCCTTCTCACCTTCACACATCATTACGAATCATCGTTATCCACATCGAACCCCTCTCTTGTAGTTGGAAATGAAACTTTGCAAGAGATCATCGACAGCTCTTTCCAAAAAAAAGTTAAAGGCGGGATAATGATGGGGCTTAGGACATATGAGAAATTTTGTTGGTCAGCGCTAACAAAAACCCAGGGACGAAGTAATGTTGACCAAGGCATGCGTGAAAGTTAGATGAAACGGAGCTCTCAATTGCATGACGTACTTGTAAGGAAAATGGTTGTTGATTCACTCAAGGCTTGTTGCCCGAGAATACGATCAGTGCGTTGATACATGCATGCTTCAACTAGCTCCACATATACGTACACGTAGCCCATGTGTCTTTACATGTGTCTTAAACGTTGATGTTCTACGCTTTTGTTTGTATGTGACGTGTGTGTTTTTATAACGTTTGAGGGGAATATCATCCAATTAGTCGTAAACAATCTTCAATCTTGCCAATTGAATCATAAATTTTTGCGCAAAATTCCAATGTAGACATTCCGATCAATTCTCGCCAAAAATCGCTAACGTGACAGTTTAGCTATCGTCGTCCATTCTACGTGGCACGCCGCCATGTCGGTGAATTTCCGCTGAAATTGGTCAAAAGGATTACAATGGAATTTCGTGCAAAGATTTAAGACTCAATTGATAAAATTGAAAAAATTAAGACTGAATTGACATTCATACAGTAGGTTTAGGACTAATCCAACAATTTCTCACTTTAGGAGCAATCTTGATATAGGGAGATGTCACGATCCTAGCTCGAAAAAAGAGCCGTCAACTTTTGAGGCTAATTATCTTTCTGGAAAAGTCTTCTCTCATTGAATCATGTCATACTTTAGA